GGTTAAATTTTTGTATAATTGTTTGACAGAATCGTTGGATGTGGCCATGACCCCACCTGGTCAGGCAACCACGCGGACCCGGAGCGGATTGGTGGATAGGATACGTATTTTATGGAATAGAGAGATATTGTATTGTCGGAGAGGGTACTGAGAGGTACTGTGCCCAAGCCGCACAGGGCGGAATCTGCACTGAGCCCAATCCGCAATACGTACTGGGCCCAATCCGCACTAAGCAAGGGGTAGGTAGTATATTTGTTTTTGATGGAATATGGAGATTGGACCTAGAACTGCTCGGGCCCACGAGGGCCCAGTGCGGAATTTCCTAGTTAATGCATGTCTAAAAAATTTTATGTCGAACAGTCTAAATGTACCCATCTATGTAAACAAACATTACAATTAATCATTTTTAATATTGCTCTATTGATTTCAACGGAAGCTAACTCGGCATCGTTAACAAGTGATCTATAGATATATAGATCGATATCACCTAGTTATGACTATCGATAAAGATCTACCCGAGTTTAGCCGGAAAATCTATTAAAAGTATTTTGTATCAATATTTTGCTTGTTTTGTGTCCTCAAAGTGGGCTGCTCACATATTGCTTGAGCTGACGCGTTTTGCCCATTTTTTGAACATCCCTGCCAAAAATATGTTTTCCGTTTCCGTTCATAAAGTATTAGGAAAGGATCAATATTTTAAACGCGCTCTATAAAATAAATTATAGTATGTTTTGAGAGTTCCGTAGTCCTGACAGGGAACCCTTATAGTTTCATCATGTCCGTCTGTCTGTCCATACCCGGTTTTGCTTGGAGATTGTTAGAACAAGAGCGCTGTAATTTTGTGGAGATATGTATATCAATAACACCGAAAAAATGGTAGAATAAAATTTTGAAAAACATTTTTTACCTAAAATAAACTAACTGTCATTTAACACCCAAAGAACCAAAAATGCCTCTTTGTTTAAAAGGGATCATTTTTGAATTTAAGTGTCGGATATTGTAAAAAAACCGGCCAAGTGCGAGTCGGACTCGCGTACCGAGGGTTCCGTACAAAAATATTCAAAAATATTTTTTATTTTATGATGTAACTAAAAATTTACGGTTTTCGCAATTTTTCCTTTATCTGTACTATAAGACGTTACTTCGTACCAAATTTCAAGATTCTAAGTTCACGGGAAGTACCCTGTAGGTTTTGATTCCCGTGCGAGTTTCGAAAATTTGCGGCATAAATGGCTGTATCTTTTGATTGCTTTGGCTTAGAAGTTTGATTTTTTCATAGCTCCAAGGGACAGTAGACCTGAGTATAAGGTATGAATTTCAGTTTGATACCTCCACGCGTTCCTGAGAAAAACGGTCTTGACAGACGGACGGACGGACAGACGGACAACAAAGTGATCCTATAAGGGTTCCATTTTTTCCTTTTGAGGTACGGAACCCTAAAAAACACAAATTGTATATTAAAATCTTGTTAGGTATATTCTCAATATCGCTACTTCGGAGCAACAAAATCACAGTTATCCAAAACTTCAAAAAAGAGTTAAGTATGCCTAATTGTTCATAAACCTTGCGTCCAGTTGGTCCAATTTCTACAAGATGGCACCGGTATCTTTAGTAGTTAGTCCCATTATTAATTCCTAGTGCAAGACTGTCACAATTTATGACGCTTTTTGTTTTTATTTATTAACATGTATCTTTAATTATTTTAAATAAATTTTTGACTCAAAGTTGAAGCTAAGATAATAAACACCACAAAACTATGATTTAAAACCTACTACAGAGAATAATCCAAAAAAGAAAAAAAATAAGTCCTTTTCTGTAAAATTACATACTGAGTTCATGTGACTTTATTGCACCGAGGCAGCGATTGAGCTGTCAAATTTTCAAAAATATCATAAAATATAGTTGTCATAAATTTAATGTTATGTTGAACTTGGCGATTCCCTTGACATACATTAAACAATAGTAATACATAAATAGAATACTTAAATATATTATCGAACTCTTATCGATATATTTATTTTTATGAATTTTATTTAATAGAAAGTAATCAAATATAATATGAAAATTTAAGATTACATAAGATAAGGTAAAATCTCTTTGTGCCACAACACAGTAAGAAAACAACTAGAAAACGAAGCAGAACAATCACTTTTGTAGAACGGACAGTCTTACCGCTTATCAGTGTTTTCTTCTAGACAACTAAATGAGCTGAAAATAACAGAAAGTATAGGAAAATAAGGAAGAAAAAGGGAGTTTATGCGGGATACAAGGTAAACATTTTCATAATACTTTGCAAAAAAGATGAACAGAAAAATAAATTGAAATCAAAGCATTTTACTATATTATGATAATAATAGCCATACATCAATATTCGCCTACTTTACAGTATAATGAAACTGAAGCCATTATTTAAACAAAAATAGCTAAATTTAATAAAAACTACGTTCTTCCGATAAAAATTACTTCTTAACTACAAACTTGGAAAGTCTCTAAAGTTTGGACACGTAAAATATTTTCAGGCAGGGAATTCCATTTTGGATATAATATGTATGGTAAAAGAATTACTCTATGCTTTGGAAAAGTTAAGAGGTGTTCTTTGTTGTGTTTTTGTTTTTAGAAGATTGTCAGATGAACAAAGCGGAATATTATGGGAAGAAGAAAGAAACTGAAAAAAGGTGAGCTTTTAAATAGAACAGCACTGAAAAGTAGGCATAATACTCGTATATTTAGATCTTGACTACGGTGGATGGGAAGCCAAAACAATTTTTGTCTTTAGTAACGTGTTCGTACTTAGGCGGACCATAATAAGAATCAAATAAAAAAAATAAATGGCATATGTTCAAGTTTACTAAAAGATAGTGGACCGCCCTCGCTTTGCTTCGGTGTAGAGTTTTAGTGTAGGTATAGTTTTTGTTCAAAGGCTTGTATTATACACAATGACTTTCTTCATAATAATTATAAACCTTCCATTCCAAGTAAAAATTCGTTGCGTAGTTTAGGAACCGTAGTACCGAATGCAACATTGCTCTGCTGTTACGATTTGAAAAAATATTTTTGTATTGGACAGTGCATTTATCGAGTCAGGCTATAGGCTATATATTACCAGGCTACGATCAGTAACAGCGGAGTATCGATGAAAAATGCTGCAAAAACGGGTAAAAATATTCCATTTGTGAGATTCCGATGCGTGTGCTGGGTAAAAGGTTAAAGTTTCACAAAAATCATGTATGACTGTAAAAAAATCCACGCCAGCCTATGTCCATATTTTAAGTTTGACTCACTATAAACCTTTTTCTTCAAATTAACGCAGGTGAAACCGCAGGGGACCTCTAGTTGTGACATAACTGTAATAGTTAAACGTATGGTATCGCGGACATTTTGTAGATATTAGTATCCTCTATAAAATTTTAGTACATCACTTTGCTCTATTGTCAATGACTTCCGCAGCGTTCGCGATATAAGGCTATTGTTTGGTATTTTATCACACTTTGGGTTACATTATCAAAGTTTTCATACGGAACCCAATTTTTTTTTGCAAATACACTATAGCCTATATTAATCAGTTGTAATGTAGCATTCAAATGGTGAAAGAATTTTTATAATAGGTCAGTACTTTTTGAGCCAATTAAATAATATTAGTATAGATCAAAGGAAGGATTTTGCAGATGAGAAACATCTGCAAAATCGGGTATTGGTAGAAGAAGGGAAGTTGCCAGATAAATTTTAGGAGCAGTGGGCAAGAAGTTACTTAAGCGCTGTAAAAATCCGGCCACAGCAAACGTTCGCCTACTGACTTTAGTAATCTGAAAACATCAGGGTACAGTGTTGCGACGATTGCCTTCGGTAAAGGGGGTTCAAATAACAACTCACCAAAATAAGCTTAATTTAGTATTTATTGTATAGTGTAAATATAGAACCCATGCAGTGCTGTGCTGTGCTCAACATGGACATCAGATTCATAGAATTTAACACGTTATTCACACGACGGAATTTTACTCAGTTGATTGTGTATAAGTTGCTCAAGAACTTAAAAAAGGAAAAGAAGGACGGAAATACGGCCGAAATAACACATAGTATCAGGATTAGATTTTACGGGAAGTGGAATAACTGGAGCATATTTATTTGTTTCTTAGGTTTTCACGCACATCACTCATTAAATAAAACTAGTTTTTTACGGGTTAATGCACGAAACTTTATTTATTTATTTACGTTTCGTAGCCTTTACGGGCTAAGTCGTCGGAATCAAATTTTTATTTAATTTAATTTTTAAGAAGGTAGTTCGACAAAATTAAATAAAAATTTGATTCCGACGACGTAGCCTGTAAAGGCTACGAAACGTCAATAAATAAATAAAGTTTGGAGCATATTTCTTAATTCCTGGGAATCTTTCAAAAGAAATAGATTCGTTACAAGTTTGGTTGATAACTGGAGTTAATTTGTCGTATCGAGCAGCACTATTCACGGCTTTAAAAACGATGTTACGTATATTCCTCTCAATATGACTATGGGAAAATTAAGTAAAAATAACGGAGTGAAATCTGGTATTATTTGAGAAGAAAGATATACTTACCTTAAAGTTTTCTCTTTAACATGATTGTTAAGAGCAGACGATACAGAGAAATTCCTAATTAACTTGTTGTTGACTAGCGGTCGTCCGCGACTTTGTCCACTTTACTATTGTATTTGGAGAATCTCCCAGGAATCTAACATTTTCAACTATATGTGCACCAAAAATTCAAATCCCCGCAGTTGTTTTTGAACGATTGAGTAACATAATAAAATTGTAAGGACACAATAAATGTCACAAGTATAATATAAGTAGAATTGCTTTCAACTTTGACAAAACAAGTAAATGTATGATTAAATTTTTATTTATGGAAACAAGAAGAGACTTTTAATCGCTTCACGCGTCGCTCGTCACAGTTTCCGCACCCGTGAAATCTGCCGCGTAGTCGCCACCCTTATAAAAGCGATGCTAACCATTGCCACAGCAGTATAGAAGTCACCCCCTTTTGCGCGGAACGGCAAAGTTTAAAATTTTTTAACTGTTGTGTGGTAGCGCGTAAGTATCTGTTTTTTTTATTATTTTCAGAAAAAAGCTTTAAAGGTAATGAAAAAATACTACGTTAAAAAAAAATCAATGCAAATTAAACTTAATCTGATAAATATTTTATTTAAATGAATTAATTAAGAAAGTGTTCATTGTACATACTAGATAAATAGTTTATAGGTTGATAGTTAAATATAAATTATGTTTTTTATAAACAGCATAAAAGTCACGATGAAAGCAAAACTGTTATACCGTGAATTTTTAGTGACCTCATAAACTTAAAAATTGTGTATATAAAAATAATGAAAATAGTGAACAACCGTAAATATACTACCCCATTAAAAAAATTGATTATATCATTTACAAAATATCTTGAAACGGCGCATATTTGTAAATAGCATACCTATTATGGGATTAATATATGTTTAAAGTACATAGATCCCAAAAGTTATTTGAATCAATTTATAACAAATAAAATTGTAAAGGTTTCGTAGTTGCAAAATTAGTAATTTTTCGAAAAAAGGGGTTTTTTGCAGAAATTTTACCGAAATCGCTGTCTGAATTAGTCATTAAAGTTGCTCAGGTAATTCATAATTCACGGAATTCTAGAATAACGCAGAAAGTATTCATAGTAACTAGAAAGGAAAGTCATAGTAATCATTACAGAACCAACCGTAGATAACGATAACGATATAACGATTACAATTCATAAAATTAATATTATGAACATTTTTATATTATACATACATTTTGCCAAAACGTGAAAAATGATAATTTCAAGGTATTTTCTAATAAAAATGAATGTGCTTTAAAAACATATTTAAGGATGAATACAATCTATTCATATTCATACTTAGTTAATATTATAAATGCGAAAGTGTATCTGTTTGTCTTTCTGTCTGCCTCGTTGTATGTTGTTACCTTTCACGCTAAAACCGCTGAAACTAATTGAAATTTGATATAAAAATAAGGTTTGAGTCCTGGGAAAGAACTTAGAATAGTGTTTATCCCAGAAAGCATCCTTTAAGGGGGTGAAAATGGTAGTGTAAGTTTGTATGGGAGATCGATATTTCCACGCAGACGAAGTCGCGAACGACCACTAGTTTTTTAAAATTTTTTTTTTGAAAACTTTAAATTTTGTAAACATTATTATAAAAAGTATTATAATTACTATAATATTTACTTTTGTTAATTTTACATTTATTATTGACATTTGATACCATTATAGTTTTTAGTTTCAATTATTTATATTGCAGATTCACATCTAACTAAAAACCAGGATTCATATCAACCTAATAAAAATTCATACAAATATCGTTACGTGAAAAAAACAAATATGACACAAAATCAATTTGCAACATCGATCGAACCTTTCTTAAAGGATTATCCATCATTAGCTGTGCCCCCCGGGGTGTTACTCGCGGTTTAGTAGGGACATTTTCCCGCAGTAGCCTATGTGTTAATCCAGGGTGTCAGCTAACTCCTTACCAAATTTTATTAAAATCGCTCCAGCCGTTTAGACGTGAAGAAGTAACAAACATACACACTCACAAATTTTCGCTTTATAATATAAGCGTGATTCGCATCACGCTTGTCTTAAATTTGATTTTATTTATATTGTCATATATAAGAGTGAGCAAACTATAAATTTAACCCTTAATAACTTAATTCAATATACAATTCTATTAAATCAAAAAGCATGCACGCTTTTTCTTATAAAACCATACACTGCATATGCTTACAGAAGCCAATTACATTTGTTCCATTAATGAAAAAAAACGAATGTGCCAAAAAAAAACTAAAACCTCATATTTTTTTATTAAAGTTTTAAACAAAACTGTTATTTGTGCAATAGTAACTTAGTAAGGATGGTCCGATGAATGACTGGAGATTTTCTAGGTCACTTAACACGAAAAGGATGTGTTTACATTAAAACTGTGTTAGAAAATTGTAATATCATTAACAACAGAATAGGGTGTTCATAATATTTTGTATCGCAAGCGTCTATAGGCTATGGTAGCTATCAAGCGGGCCATGCTCTTGCTTGCCACCTTTTTCCTTCCTTCCTTTAATATAAAAAACAATAAAAATTGAAATGAATAAATGAGAAAGCAAGTAAGGAAGTTCGTAGTAGCGATCGAAGTCTTCGTACGGATCCCTAACTTTTGTGAAAATGTTCTATAGCCTATGTTCATGAGACATAACGTAGGATTCTAAACGTAACATATTTTTGCAAATTTTTGGTCTCTAGTGTGCAAAGGAACGTACATACATATATAGACTGTCTTTGTTACATACATACATATAAACACTATACCCTGTCTGTGCATCGCGCTTCGCGCTCTTGCATTGCGCAGTCGGGTTAAAAGGAGAACAATGATAAATTTTAGTTTTACATTAATATGATTTTGCATGAATACATACATAAAGTAATAGTAAGACATATGGTATTCAGGACTTTTTTTTAAATAATGATGTCCTTTATAAAACTTTATTACATCACTTTGCTCTATTGTCAATGACTTCCGCAGCGTACACGATTTATTTTGGTATTTTTTCACACGTTGGGTTACATTATCGAAGTTTTCATACGGAAGCCTAACTTTTTTGAAAATACTCTATAGCCTATGTTAATCAGAGATTGCGAAGGATTAAACGTGAAATATTTTTGCAAATCGGTCCAGTATTTTCGGAGCCTTTTCTATACAAACAAACAAAAAATCAAATCTTTCCTCTTTGTAGTATAAGTATAGATCAACCTAAGAGTGTTTTGAAAGAGCTTAAATGTATCGATAAAAGTCTATAACAAATAATATCCTAGCCAAACAAATAATATAAAGTACATAATGACGTTTGGAATCAATAATGTTTCAATATACTCGTAGGTTGGTTGACGGATTGAGACGTATGGCTGTTGACCCTTCGGGCCCGAGTTAAAACACCTTTTGTATCAACAGTTCTCTTTCTTGTGTGCTCCGAGTTAAATGGATAACTTCTTGCAGTGTTTCTTGAATAGTAAAAATAGACTAAATAATAATAAATGAAGTTTTTTTATACGTTTACTAAGGTATGAACTAATAATATAGGTCCATGACTGGGGTTTTGATAAAAAGAATAAAGTAAATATGTATGCAGATTTGATAACCCCATACGTAATTGTTTGCTATTGAGGGGTTTCCTTGTTTGTCTTGGAATGTAGTCATCAGATCTTCACGAAATTCATATGGCCACCTGTAACGAAAACCGATTCAAACAAAAATTGATCATCAACAAGTACCTGTTCAAGGTTCTGGGATATTCACGTTACAAACAAACAAAAACATCGTGTTAACAATACAATTGAGAACAATAAATAAATAAGAACCTTCTTTCTTCATCTTCTATAATAAGTTTAATAGTATTTCTCAAAAGAGTTTGTATATCAATTATGACCTTAACCACAGACTTAGTCCGCGGTAACTAAGACCTTTCAAATTAATTTCCACTAAGAAGTAGCTCACTGACTATACTGTACATAATATATATTCTATTCTATGGCTTAGTTAAAGAAAACGCTTCTCGGTTAACTTTCCTATTGAACTTCGGATCTCAAATCAGGAGCTGGCGAACAAAACGTTATAATTGCATGAATTTAAATTTTACAGGCGCAGTAAAACAATGCATGACATACCTGCAGAGAGTTTAGGGTGTGGTTTTTAATTTATAATTTAGTAATTTTAACACTGTTTTAGGCGGTATTGATTGAAAATGACTTGAGATTCCAATTCAAAGGGCCCACGACCAACTGGATTGTAAAAAAAACGTATTGTGGCTAATTGTGTAATTATACCGTTTTGTTCGCCAGCTCCTCAAATACGCAAAGTGTTTGAAATTTGAAATTATAACTTACCCTTTCTACATGGTCTCCTATGGCGAACCTTGAAATAGTTGCGTTATAAAATCGATTATATTCGTTTAAATAGGCCGTGCGCTATCCGTTAGTTGTATGACACAATGTAACTATAGCTGGCGTTTGTATGGCTTCCACTCGACAATGTCTAGGATTAAGGCATTACGAGTTTCAAGCGAGGACGGTACCAAATTCTTCCATATTTTTTTCGTCCGAGTTTGTGATATTGAAGTTTGAACGCAGGTTTTAATATAGAAGAAAAGTTTGAATATTCTTTAATATGAAAAATATTAAACTGCCATACAACGCTGTCTTAACTCGTATATTTTCTCAATTTTCCATAACTAAAAAAAATTTTATTTAACATGTGTGAATGTATATAATAACTATATATAAAGTACTAGAGAATTAACTTTGCTGCGCTGCAAATTAACTAGTGCATAACATTGAAATTATAAGATTACATATAATATGTGTATATGCCATGCTAGGCCACAAGTTTTCAAAATTTTCACAAGCAATGGAACTAGATTTCACTTTACTTATTTTATTTACAATTGACAGGTGATATGACTAATAGTCTCAGCAAAAATATCCAAAGATAAAAATACACCAGGAACAAAATATACATAAAATAAAATACATTGAAGTAGGGTACAGCGAATTATCCGCTCGAATTGGTGTGTTCCTCTTTGGAAGTAGCCTTCAACTTACAGAAGACCAGGGTAAAATAACATTACCTTTTGGTGGTGTTGTGTTGCTGACGGTGAGTAAGGTTCCAAGGCTCAACGGGGTAGGGGATCCGGGAAAAATGTTAAACTCGCGTCAGGTTAAAAACGTGGGCTGATCGCATCATGACACACAATAAAATTGGAAAGGTTGTTGACTTTCAATATATTGGACGAATCATAATCATATTTTATTTTATCGTATTATAATAATAAGTCTGTATCTAAGACGTCCAGGTGGCAGCTTTATTGCGAAGAAAATGCATTTTTTAATAGATGTCACTAGGTGCGCGTAAAAGAGTAATTCTGAGAGATAAACTTTTTAATGTAATATAAATTGTCATGTTTGTGTACGATAGCACAATAAATAAATATTGTATTCTACCACATACATGATAGTACTTTTATACTGATAATTAGAGAAATTCGTGCAAAATTATTCCCTAACCATTCCAAAATATCAAAAATGCACAACGTTAATATTCAAGATTTTCTGCCGGCACTCCCGGAGTGCAACCTGTCGTTTTTTTATGGCTAGCATCCTGTCATGCTCTCAGTATCTTAAGTCTTCTTGAGAAATTAGGAATGGTTCTATATTTTTAGAAACTGTAACCAAATGGACTAGATATATCTACCGTCTCTTTACCAAAATATGAGATCGTATGAGTTTTACAACGTGTCTTATGATTAGAGTATTTTCTTTAAATTACAATATCACTTTCTAGAGTTATCATATCTATTGAGTAGGCTTCAGATTACAAAACAAAAGGCAGATGGAACGCACGAAACAGGCACTATAGCTTTTTGTTATGTAATCTGAGGAGAAGTCTATTTTCTTCCCACAATTTTAATTTTTATTTTAAAAATTTATATCGTGGATAACAGACGCAGGTAAGATGGACGTTTCGATTAAATGTATTTTCTATTCCGACTGGCGCTCTGAGCGATGTCAACTTATGATACTGAGAGATCCTAATGCTATGGCGGCCGCTTACCATCAGGCGGGCCCCGGGCCATATGCTTGTTTGCTGCCCTTGTAACATAAAAAAAATAAAAAAACGCAGCCATCAGTAGCATAATTGGTCAGTGCATTCGCCCGGATAGCGAAGGGTGCGGGTTTGAGTCCCGTCTGCTGCCTGGTCCGCGTGGAATTTTTTCTAGTCATATTTTCTTTAGATTTAAACTTCAAACAGTTACATGCTTAAAAAATAAAAATTATAGCTAAAAAAAAACCCAATGCTGGTTTCAAGACTAAGTAATGGTAATACTTACTAATTTGCTATCTAACATTTTAAGTTTTGACGGTACCTAGCTAAAAATAATTGTTACATTGAGTAAAAAGTTATGAAGCTGATTTATTAACAATCTTTTTGTGTTTTTAAAATTATTGCTCAACCATAAACATATATTTTTGCTACAGACCATTGAAACTTATAAGAACTAAGTAGGCCTATGAATGTAACAGGGAGTATATTTTTTGTTTCTTTTAAATAGGTACTATATTTTGTTGTTTTTCTTTTGTTACAGATAGTTGGTCGACAAAATGGAGCACACTGAATTTCGCGTCAAAGGTTAGTTAATTTGTATGTCACGGGCAATCCTTATAATTCAGGTATTCTATAAAATACCTAGTCAATGTATAGAATATCTGGGGCGTCTAGGCAATGTATGAAAGATTATTAATATTATTTTCCATTTTATTTTTTGCCTTTTCTTTCTTTGCCATAATGCATACAATTTCTAGGGATTATCTAGAGCATCTGCTGGTCCACCGGCAATGTGTAAATTAAAAAAATTGGCTGGTGTTAAACCTAACAACACCTACCCACTTGGTGGGCTTTCACCGAATGAACAACAGACCAATAAACATTTGACCAACTCATAGTTCGTTAGGTTAAGTTTTGTGACCAAAACTTAAAGCGAGCTGAGCGAGCAAAGTTAACGTTCCGCGGCAGCGACCGGCGAAGCGCTAGTCACCTTTTAGATAATATAAAAATAAAACAAGGAAAAGTCGACTTGCCAACTTATTTTTCATACATTGCAGACTACGCATTCGGCATGGTATAGAATACCTAGACAAAGTATAAATTGAATAATATACCATACATTTCCTTGACGTTTTAGGCATTCTATGCATTGCCCACCCAACTAGAACATACAAGCTGATTAGACAGGGCTTGTTCAGCTAAGCTGTCGGTATAATAGCAATTTAATGGATCTTGTACTCATTTTAAGCGGTATAACAGAGTGTTCCATCTCTTTACAAAAAGAATGTGACCTGTTAACACTAAAAAGTATAAGTCATGTATTCAGACCTCATTACTCTAAAGTACCATTGGCAACCCACTTTCATAACACCGGGTCCAAGTGGTACACTAGTGAATTTTCTTACATTATACAACTAAGTACTGGAGTAGAGCTTTATACGTAGTTTTTATACGATTATATTTGTAAAAGTTACTTAGCATTTTATGTAAACAGTGATTCGTTATTCGTTGTGGAGAACGTAAAAGTGTAAACGTAAAGTTGTGAAGCATCACAAGCTGCTAATAGAAGACGCCATTAGACCTTTTTGTAAGTTAAAATTACTGTCTATTTTTATGATTATTTTCATGGCTTTAACAACAATAATTATTACTGTAAACTACATAACAAACTACCTACGCCAGATAAGTAGCATCCAGATAAGTAATAAGCAAATGAGCACTTTAATCATAAAGCAATATATTCTATAAGCAATAAATGCTATTTCATTGTTATTATGTGCATATTTAGCAGGCGCGTGAAGAGTTTCAATCTAATATATAAAATTCTCATGTCACGGTGTGCGTAATTGAACTACTCCGAAACGGCCCGACCGATTTTCGTGAAATTTTATATGCATATTCAGTAGATCTGAGAACCGGACAACATCTATTTTTCATTCCCCTATTTATGATGCATGACACAAAAAATACATACGACCCTAAATTTTCACCCTTCTACCACCAACCCCTATTTTTTTCTATGGCGGTACGAAGTTCGCTGGGACAGCTAGTAACCTTACAATATTGAAAAAAATCATTAAATCTCGCTCTATATGCCTACACACAAAACATTCAAATAGTGTTTTATTCATTATTATGAATCGATAAATTTATTTAATACTTACCATTCACCCTGGCTTTGCACGGGTGAACTCTATTATAATGCAAGAAAATAAATCCGATGTTGCTCATGGATAATGCCACATATTTTAACTAGTTGTAGAGTTTTTAGAAGCTTGTCTTTACATGATATCTGATTACTTTTTGACAGTGCGAGTCATAATTATGGTATCGTCATGACAACATTTCACATGAAAATGTTTTTGGTGGGATACATTTATTTCTTTATTTAATACCATCGACCACCTAGCTCTATAAAATACGCTTGCTGTACCAGTGAGTATTTAAGAGCATTTGCTCGATGCCATAAAAAATATTTGATATAGTTCGTTGTTATTTGGCAAAACTTGTAAAAAATTGAGTCGGTTTTTAAATAACTGCAAACACAGTAATAATCAGCAGCCATCAGTAATAATAAATGCATAATAATTAATAGAATTGATGTAAAGGATTTAAAAATCATTATACCAGTCACCTTGGCAACTTGATGTAAATCTACAATCAGACAAATCATTAGGTAATTATAAAATATGTTTGTATTGCAATTACTTATTACAAATACCCAAGTAACTAGAATTCCTATGCTGTGTGAATACTAAATAGAGTAATTTTTCCGCTATGATTTTATAACAGCTAATTTTTTTATAAAACTACAGACGTAATTATTATGATTGAATAAAGTCTGTATCAATTTTATTATGAGATGATTGGTAGACAGGAAAAACATTTGAAGCTCGATTGCCTTATTACAGAGTGGTACACATAGACATTACCCGAACAATATTTTAGAATAGCAAAAAATCACATTTTTGCATTTATATTAGTTATGCAGAACTTGAGTTTGAAAAAAAAATGTCACACAATAAACTCATTCATAATAAGTATTAACGATATTTTTTATTAGAAATGGAACTGCTGTGAATTTCAGATTTGAGTTTGGTGAACCAGAATTGAGTCTAATGCGCTCAAATATCAGTAACATACTATTATCAGAAGTTACAGCGAAAATCTGCACCTCTGCGTGCATGGAATTCGAAATTTATTCGCTATCAAATTTTTCAACAGGATGGAAAGTATTGTATATATTTTTTAAATATATTTAAGCTTTGAATATATACCTACTCGCCTAAATAGAACAATCCAAATAAACCTCACAAATATAACGGCTCACGTTAAGCGTAATGTGTGCGTTTGAGGCGACGAGTTTATGTTATGTACCATAATGTAGTAGATATTTAAATCTAAAGAAAATATTACTAGAAAACATTCCACGCGGACCAGGCGGATGGGACTCGAACCCGCACCCTTCGCTATCCGGACAAATTCACTGACCATTATGCTACCGCGGCCCTGATGGCCGTGTCGAATTCTTTCTAGCCTTTCTTAAACTGCAAGGCAGCACCATTTCTTCGCATTGTAGGTAGGTAGGTAATAATTGTTGCCACAATTATTATTTTCTTATTTTTATTTTTTTTAGATTTAAACATGGATTTAAAAAATAAAAATTGGAGTAGATATTTTTTTTTAATCAAGTGTACCTATGCAATGTTAAGGTAATTACATACACTTAGTATGGATGACAATGTATGGTTATCTGAGTGACGTCATTCTTAATTCAAATTGAACCGCCCTCGATATGGCGTAAGAGTAATTTTTCAGCATTTTAATGCCTTTAGCATTTAATGAAAGGGTTTGTTTGTTGTGAAGAATACACAAACTAATGTCTGCATTCGATTGGCATTCAATTCAAAGCTTGTTTAAATAATATTTATTTTTAAGGTTCCGCAACTCAAAAGGAAAAAAGACGGAACCCTATGTCCGTCGGTCAGTCTGTCTATCAAGACCCTTTATCTCAAGAACGCGTGGAAGTAACGAATTGTTTAAACCACATACTCAGTTCTACTTTCCCTGAAATCTGTGAAAAAATAAAACTTGTAAGTTAACGTAAAAAAATGATACGGCCGTTTATATGCGAACCAACAAATTTGTATGGAACCCTCGCTGAGGGAGTCCAACCCGCACTTGTCCGGGTCCGGGTTTTTTTTTATATATTCTTTCATTTATCTATCTTTAAAAATGTAACTGACGTTTATTTAAAAATAGAACATGCTGTTAGCAGACTCTAAATCCTGACCGTTGTATATTGAACGATAAAATAAGATTAGGGGGCGTGTTGGTAGATCCACGGATTTGCGTTTATTGAAACAATTGACAAACACACACTCTTTTATGGCGATACTGGGGCCGTATTGAACTATAGCGTAATGTATTGAGTCGTTCCCTTACTGTATGCAATATCTTGTACCGGGTTTATTCATTCGATCTTCAATTTTCATCACTCCTGTTGCACTTGGACTTTATAGCTTGCGCAGACAAGGTACTTTGTCTCTGGATGCAAAAGTCCCCGAAACATGAAAAAAATGATCGCTAAGGACTTGTAAAGGACTCAACGTACACGGTGTGCGGGCATTTTATGCCCGGATGCTATAGATTTTTTTTCTGAAATTACGCACTAGTTGCTTTATTGTGCGAATTCCGAATTTTTGCATACTATTTCTGTTTGAAATGAGTTATACTGTTGAAAGTTGTACGATGGTAGCTACATAACATAACCTACAGCATTTGGTCGTGTTTTTTATATATATAAAAAAAACGACGCGTTGCACTCCGGGAGTGCCGGCAGAAGTGAAAACTTGAATATTAACGTTGTGCATTTTTGATATTTTGGAATGGTTAGGGAATAATTTTGCACCAATTGTTTAAATTATCAGTATAAAAGTATTATCATTTATGTGGTAGAATACAATATTTATTTATTGCGCTATCGTACACAAACATGACAATTTATATTACATTAAAAAGTTTATCTCCCAGAAAAATCAACTTACATGAATCACATTTAAGCGCACCTAGCGAGATCTATTGTAAAAAAATGCATTTTCTTCGCGAAAAAGCTGCCACGTAGACATCCTATATAGAGACTTATTAATTATATAACGATAAAATTAAATAAAATATTACTATGTTTCGTCCAATATATTGAAAGTCAACAACCTTTCCAATTTGATTGTTTTCGTCTTACGAATTTTCGATTAGGCCACGTGTCCGGACGCGAGTTTAACATTTTTCACCCAAACAAAAAAAGTGTACAACGCCGCTAAAGAAGTTTTCACTTCAATAACTAAACTTTTTACACTCGGCTTATATTTGATACTGACCGCGTTTAGATACTACATTTAACACTTCTGAATTCGCAGTCTGCAGTGCGATAAAATTACTCGAACGTTTTCACTTGTACTAGATTGCAATAGAACTCCTTTGACGTTAAAAAGTTCTCTAGAACCCATTGTGTTGGCCGACGCATCTTCACATCGACTTCTTGTTTGCGACAAAAGAATCAGATTAGATCTTTACTTGAACATGTGTGTGTTTTTTTTTGTTTGTTTGAGTTCTTGAGAATGTTGCAAGTTGGACAAGACAATTGCTCGAATTTAATTTGCTTTCACAATAAACATAGTTTTTTTCATTGCTAATCGAATAGTTATATTATGTGACTAACATATATGAGACCATGTCTTGAAATAAAACCTTTTTATTTTATTTATTTTATATTACCTTTGGTCTTTTACCAACATTTTTTTTATAAATTAGCGAATCCCGCGTCTCAAGGAAGCATACCTAATATAAGAGTCTCTTCTTTAAAAGCCTTCCCTTCTTAGGCGCGTTCGATCGATCACACGAGTTCAGTGTAAGTTGGTGTGCTAACAACTGCAGATACCAAAGTAAATAAAAAAAAATTGGATAACCTATCCAATGACTGGCGATTGCTAAAGTTGCTCAAATTCTAAAATCGCAAACTGATCGTGCTGAACATATATACCCTTAAGCTATTCCATAATAGATGAGTCGGTACTAAAAATTGCAAATGTGACCGGGCCTTACCTTTCGAAGCAAGAAGGAGTGATTATACTTTTTGATAATTATCAGTAAATGCAAATGTAGCTTAACTAGTTCCCCGATAAATCTAAATATTTGTTGCAGCCAAGGAAATGGTGGATTACATAGCAGACTACCTGGAGAACATCCGGGACCGCCGCGTGTATCCTGGCGTGCAGCCTGGGTACTTGCATAAGCTGCTGCCCAAAGAAGCCCCCGTGGCCCCAGAGAAGTGGGACGACATCTTCAGGGATGTGGACCAGCATATCATGCCAGGGGTACGTGGGTAATGGCATGGAAGACTTGGGTATATGCTACGCACAGACCTATACCAAAGTAGATGACGCAATAGATATAAATTGTATAAAAACCGAAGTGTTATATTCGAATACACACGAGTGGAAAAGCGTAGCTGCCTCGGCCACATCCTTCCTAATCTGTTGTTTTCACAGCTTGGTATACCATTATCACACATTTCGAAGTGATAAATTCTTATGGGAGGGTAAACCGCTTCGTAACGTAACGCGTTACGGCGTCCGTCTATCTGGCTTTCCTTCCTCTCACGCATACGGCAGCGGTAGGCAGGCTCCTCCTCTTGCTCTCTCACCCGCGGCGCCGTTAAAATTAGTTTAAGTTATCACTTTTGTCGTGTGTTCCGAGACGCACACGCTTTTTTTTTATACCACGGCGTTTTCCTCACCAGGTCGTTGGGGGCTTGTTCCGCTATCTTTTCTGTACAGATTCTTTACCGAGAACTACTTCTTGACCGGGTCGATTTCGGTGCGGTATAGTTTCGCTTTATTCACTACGGTTTTGCTTGCGGGACGGGACGGGCGAGTCGAATGGTGCCATAGCATTCGGAAGCCCTCGATAGCATTCGATACAGAGAGATGTGTATCCTCTCGGTGAAGATGTACCGAAACTACTTAGTGAGGTAGCTCTCATTTAATTACATGCACTCAGTAATGCATCTTTACAGATTCGGTACAAAAATGAAACGAAACAAGCCCACACCGACTTGGTAAGGGCATTCGGTATCAGCAACGATGATGCGCAGAAATAAAATAGCGTCAAAGAAAGAGTATTGCTTTTCCTTTTGGTACTATTTTGACACGAGAATAACATACATTTGCGTCATCCATTTTGATCTATGCATGGGATCCCAAGTCTCCCATGCTGAATGGGAAACGGTAAGAAAACAGAATTTGCCAGTAGTAGTTATAATTATTTAGTAAGAACTTAATTATTACTGAAGTTTTGCTGTCCATCCATCCATTCGCTCATCGTTCAGCGGACTAAGTCCCGTATTAAAGAACATTTCTCAGTAATAAATCTTGTTTTTAAAATGAGATTTAATTTTAGAACGTTTTTTTAAACATAAATATTGATCTAAACTCAGCTGAGTAGTTGCTTATTTCAGAGGGACATTTACGTCAAAATTTACTCTCAAGCTAAGATTTGATCTTTGTTTACTTAGTCGACACCATTTTTTCTGAAGAGAAAACGTATTATAGTCTTTTTTTTATTATGAAGTTTGACATATCGGTATGTTTTTCTATTTTGTAAGTGTAAATTGATAACATACTTAGCCTGTAGACAGACTTGATTCTAGTTTCAGCTGATTTGCTATTAAAACGCCACCATATGCTGAGTAATTAAGTAGTGATCTACACTTAAAACTAGCCTTACGTCATTAAGTTTAAATGCTGTTTGAGCCGCGTACGATTTCGTACGATAGTACGTGGCCATACATATAATTGCATGACCCCAAAAAGATTTGAATCGTTTTGAATTTGTAGATAATATTAATAGATAATTATTTACCTACATTTCTCTGAATACTCCTTTTCTCCATAGCTGGTCCACTGGCAGAGCCCACACATGCACGCCTACTTCCCAGCGCTGACCTCCTACCCCTCCATCATGGGGGAGATGTTATCCAGCGCCATCAACGTACTGTGTTTCACTTGGGTAAGAAACACCAAATCTGGAATTATGCTAACCATATAATTTTTTAAGATTTTTTTTATTAGAAAAAGATCAAATCGATGTAAGTGTCAGATAGGACTCGAACCTGCGTCTTCTGTTGTTTGGACGGATGCAATAACTGCTATGCCAGGGGTGCTCGTACTTGAACTGCTGGCGATCTACTTCAATTTTTTTTAGACTACTTACAATCGACTCTGAGAGGCTGCAAGTATGTGTGATGCAGGGCTGTCATACATACACGATACACCCCACCTACCTACCTACCTAGGTAGGGTGTCATATATTATAGATATTAGCTTTCCGCATAATATACATTATTTTAGTCAAGGTTTGGGTTAGGTTTAATTAGGTTCTTCTCTACAATATCAATGAAAAAACTCATAGTTATTCCAAATTGCGAGTTTATTGGTTGTTACAAAACAAAAGAGTTACATATGGTGTTAAATTTAACTAAGGAGTGACTTTGGATGTTAAAGCGTGGCACTGCATGTCCTCAGTATACTTTTCATAAGTTGGTACATGACCACTGAGTACTACTCGCAAGCATGATGACATATGATCGTCAGTTAGTCGATTGCGATATTTTGACTTAATTATCTTCATTTCAGAAAATGCAGACTCCCACAAGTATGTTGACCCAAACATTGCGGTCAGTTGAAGGGCGATTTTGCTTTAGATTCGGATATTTATGTAGCTGTAGCTTTAAGACGTATATCTGATATAATCTGCACCAACTCATTTTCAACAGAACATGATTTCATTAGCTAATTCCTCAATGTTTTTACATGATAAAGGATAACTCATAAATGATGCTATATTTGCCAATTTACTGCAATCATAAAAACGAATTATGAATTGTTCCAAAATATTTGATAATTCAGCCTCATATGTATCATAATTCAACTGAGGAATCCTTGCTTTCAAAGATGGAAAATGTTTCAGATCCTTTCTTTTCAGTTGATCTATCATAAGTTGCAATTTACTTTAGAATGCGTTTACTACGCTAATCATCTCAATAATAGTATTCCCTTTACCTTGAAACTCCAAGTTAATGGTGTTTAAGTGCCATTGTGATATCAGTCAAAAATGCCAAATCAGTCAGCCATTTTTCGGTTTTCAACATCTGAGTGTCATCACCTGTTTCTTTTAGAAAAGCTGTTATTTCGGGCAATAATTCTTGAAACCTTTCTGGGAATTTTCCGCGAATCAACCACCTAACGTCCGTGTGAAGAACTAAATCAGTGTGTTCAACTGACTTATCCTATCTTCCAACTGCAACTTAAAGAGCCGTCGTTGCAAGCTACGTGCACGGTAACGTGTAATTTTTATTGCAATGCCCATAATTTCCTCCGTGTTTAATTTTTTTCTGCTGCTGGCTAGCTGGTGCTCCATCGGTTGTAATGCACACTAATTTATATATTGGTAGCTTGTAGTTTTTTACAAAATTGAAGAAAACATCATATATATCTTCGCCACGGGTCTTCCCCTTCAGAGGAATGATTGTCAAAAATTCTTCCTTAGCCAACATGTCATTGAATACCATCCGGATACACAGCTGGGCAGTGTCTCTCATATCGGTGGATTCGTCGAAGTGTAAAAAAAAGTATGTACATCCCCTGATATCATTTTTTAGTTTATCTGCTATATCCTGACTCATGACTTCAATACGCCTTGTGACAGTCGGACAAGATAACTGAAGTTCTCTATTAGCTGACATGATTCTGACATCTGTTTTATTTTTAAAATCTCCAAATAAAGTCTCACCAGCTTCAATAAATGCTTCCTTCACAACCGATCCATCTTCGAATGGTTTCTTTGTTTTGCCAATATATGAGATATTTTAAATGACGCGATTGTAGCAGCTTTTGATTATTAGGCTGGTCTTGTGAACATGGTTTGTTCTTTTTTGAAACTAGGTATCAAATCACGTACCTACTTTTCGTTTTCTTAATTCACTGTGTGGCGGAAAATCCTTTTCATAGTTTTTATGAACCGTTTTATGACACCTCTCTAAGTTACCACGCTTAAGTGTTGCAACTGACGCACGACAATGCATCCCAATCGTTATTAAAATTATACGTTTTAGATTTCTTCGCTGCACTCATTTTGTACTATTTAATAATAAACTTTGTATCGACGTAGTATTGCCTTCAAGTTACAATTCAGAATGACTCCAAATCCCGCAGGCGCAACATTTATATCGGCGTGAACGAAGGTCTCGAATGTTCCCGTCAAACGCGCCGCCCGAAATTTTGTAGAAAAGCGGTAAGAATAAAAAAACGCGGCTTTTCTTTGACAAGTACCGCGCGTTTCTTTGATAAAACCGCCTTTTGCCGCTAGCAGTGTTATTAAATTACATAATATTTTTTTCTAGTTTAGTTAAGTACCTACTTATTAAAAAAAAACTACTCAAAAAGCACTCGCGATAGAAAAGCACATGATAAAGCTGATAATAACGTAAACCCTCATCCCTGGAAGAGGGCACGAGAGATAACACTTCCGACACTATTGTTCATTACGATCAACTAATATCATCGCATGATAAAATAAGGGATGACTCAAAAACCCACATTCCTGGAAGTGGTCACACAAGATAACCCTCAGGAAACTGTCATTCAATATTAATGGTGCACCATTAGTTAAGGGTGGATATTAACATTCATGTTAAACTAGCTCGTAAGTAAGTTAGTATAAAAGCGGCCTGTGTGCCAAAACCAATGTTCATTTTTATCTCCAACTCTGCTCTGTAAATAAGCTTGAGTTGTACTTTCAATAAATTCTTTTTTAAACCCCTCCAGTCCTTTCAAATTATTAACTCAATCGACTGGTCGATCGCGATCGACCGTCTGAGCACCCCTGAGACCTTATTGATCATCTTCTAGTATTTCTTAGGCTGCAAGGCTTCACAATTTTATATAACTAGATTCACCTCTATTAAGTTTTGAGCAACTTTATAACTTCGGTTCGTAAGAACCCTTTAAAAACTACTAAAAACTTTAAATAAATGATGGATGAAATCGGTAAGGTTGTTCCGAAGTTATGACATGACCAAGGTAAATATGGAGTCATTTTTATAAAGTTAGAGATAATGTTAGAAATCCTTAGGTATCCCACTCCAACGTAGCGGAAGAGATTTAAACTTCTCTTTAAACGTTGTCAGAAAGACTACTTGGAGCACTAAAATAGTAAATCGCGATAAAATAAAAAAGGTCGTTGTTGATTTTTTCAGAACTTCAAATTCTTAACAGACTCGGTGACAGAGAAGGTGATTTTTACCATTTATATATGTTTTTGTTTAAGGCATCTTCCCCAGCTGGCACTGAGCTGGAGACGATATCGATGAACTGGCTCGGTAAATTGCTGGGTCTACCGGATTGCTTCCTCAACGAGAAGAACGACAGTCCTGGGGGTGGTGTCATTCAGGTAAACCTGAGAAATTCTGAGAGAAATCATTCAGGCACAACGGAGCATCCTTTAGCTTCAAGCTTACGGCTACAGACATCAAATTGAAAAAGATTGAAGCATAGACCTGATGTCGTATCCTATTACTATCAGAAAAGAAAATTATAGCATTAAATGAAAGCATAACCTTTAACTTAACTTGTAAATTTATTGTCGTTCCTGAATGCTAAGGAAAAACACTTTCAAAGCCTTACAGAATATTACGACTTGGTCAAAACCAAAACAAATACTTGACTTTTAAGAATTAAAACCGGATTATCCAGTGGTAGGATCTGTCTTAACACTCGGTGAGCCGGTATTTTTTGCAGTATCCTTCCACGCTTCCTGCTGACAGTTCTGTGGAAGAATACTGCAGGCAAAAACATATTTTCGAAGAGTGGTGTTTTTACTGTGAGCATGGTTAAAGGTCCACGAAGGGAGTAGTCCTCCAAGAGAATAAGGTCCATGTGAGCATGATTGAATAAGGAGAATAGGTAACAAGTTAGGAACGAGAGCGTTGTTGGTGAGGCACGTACTACAGTTGGAGTAGGTGCTGTACTTCGATTGTATTTTTTTATAGCCAGGTAAGATTCTACCCCACCTGATGCTAAGTGGTGATATGATATGTGATAGTATTATATAATATTGTGTACCCTATTCAAATGCAAATCAATTAATTCTAATTCTATGACTGTATCCCCCCCCGCCTAGATAGAGCTAAAAAAAATTAACTGAGCAAACAAAACGGCTCATGTTACGCGCAATGTGTGCTTGTCTCTAATGTCAGATTGTTTTAAAGCAGTCATTTTCTGCATGTGTAGCGACGAGCGTACCTACTATACTATGTATTAGAGATATATTTTCCAGCACTTCAAGGTGCTGTTATTGCCTAAACTTACATTTTAATAGAACTACCGGATACCGGCTCACCGAGTGTTAAACCACATCTGCTGTTCCTCACGGAGACTCAAATAAGATGCCCGACTGACGCAGCTTACTTGCATTACCCAGGTTACATCCTGGAGCACAATTTTAAATCGCGCGCTGGCACCTGCGTGTATGCTCGTGATGACATCTGCTGCCAACGTCTCCGCAACCTTGAGAATCCCAGTTTCTCTACATTATGGGTGCTGGTGAACACAGGTATAGAGCAAATACTCTATGCCAGTGTTTATCGGTCGCACACAGAGAACATAGAGACAACCAGGTTTTTTCAGTACCTCAGCGCCTCCGCTGAAACAGCCCAGCAAAGGTACCCGAGTGCGCAGCTAGTCGTTCTGGGGGACTTTAACGCACACCACCATGAGTGGTTGTTCCCGTTCCAGAAAACCGACCATGCCGGGAGATTAGCGCACACATTTGCTATGTCGCTAGGTCTCTCCCAGCTTGTGAAGGGCGCTACACGTGTACCCGATATTGATAGCCACACACCAAACTGCCTGGACCTTCTGCTGTCAACAGACCCGGACCGTTACCAGGTGGTAATTTCGTCTCCTCTAGGGAGTTCCGACCACTGTCTGGTGAAGTCCGTATCAGTCTACTCTCCAAGCGACCCGGAACCTATCGGAACTAGGCGTGTTTGGCGATATGGTTCAGCAGACTGGGATGAGATGCGGCATTTCTTTGCATCTTATCCTTGGCGTCGCACCTGCTTTTCTTCGGACGACCCGACTTGCTGCGCGGATGCCATTGCTGACGTGGTGCGTCAGGCTATGGAGTACTTTATTCCATATTCTGACGTACCACGCCGGTTTAGCGCCCGCCCTTGGTTTGATGCGGACTGTGCTGAAGCGGAGGCGCTTAAGCATTTTGCGTATCGCTCCTGGGCGGATGCTCGAGCCCGCAAATCACCAAATGTTCGAAGTCTGAAGAAGGCCTTTAACAGTGCCGCCAAGTCCTGTAAAGGTGTTCTCCGCAAGGCCCGCTTCGATCACATTGGCCGTATAGGAGCCAAATTAGCCTCCTTTCCATCCGGAAGCAAGGCTTTCTGGTCCCTAGCCAAAACAGTCGAAGCCAATTTTTGCCGGTCGTCGCTGCCGCCTTTAATTAAACCTGACGGATCGCTGGCTCACACCTCCAAAGAGAAGGCTGACTTGTTTGCCTCTATATTTGCGAATAACTCACAGCTAGATGCTGCTGGCGTAAACCCACCTAAGCTTCCTCAGTGTTCTTCTGCCATGTTGGAAGTTCGCATCCATCAGAAAGAGGTACTAAAAACGCTAAGCACTCTAGACGTGAATAAAGCCAGTGGGCCCGATGGCATTCCAGCTATTGTCCTGCGGAATTGTGCCCCTGAGTTGTCTCCTATTCTGACTCGCCTATATCGCTTATCCCTTGAGATTGGCCAAGTTCCGAAAACCTGGAAGCTTGCCAATGTCCAACCAGTGCCCAAAAAGGGTAGTCGTGCCGACCCTGCCAACTATCGACCTATTGCAATCACCTCCATACTCTGTAAGATTATGGAGGGTGTATTGAACAACCGTCTCCTCGCTTACCTCGAAGATAACGATCTCCTCAGTGACTGCCAATTCGGTTTCCGCCGTGGGCGATCTACTGGGGATCTTCTTGTGTATGCTACCCACTTATGGAGTGAAGCCATAGAGAAACGCGGCGAAGCTCTCGCCGTTTCTCTTGATATTTCTAAGGCTTTTGACAGGGTCTGGCATGCAAGTCTCATTGGCAAGCTTCCTTCATATGGAATCGCTGTCGGACTTTGCAACTGGATTGCAGATTTTCTGAGGGGCAGATCGATACGAGTGGTCATTAATGGCACATCGTCGGATCTGCTTGGTATTAATGCCGGTGTCCCCCAGGGATCTGTCCTCTCCGCAACTCTATTCTTGCTGCACATCAATGATCTGCTCCTAACTCCTGGTATCTTTGGGTATGCAGATGACAGCACAGTTTCGGGGAGATATCTGCCTGATGTAAAGTCTAATGCAGATGTCCGATCATTAAGGGAGGCGATGGTGGAGGGAGTGAATGCAACCCTGGAAGCTGTTTCCCTCTGGGGTGAAGCCAACTTGGTTGGATTCAATCCCTCTAAAACACAGGCCTGTCTCTTCTCGACGAAACGGAGTCCATTCCATCTGACTCCGACTTTCCGAAATGTCTCCGTGCCGGTTAAAGACCATCTCGAGCTCTTGGGTATGGACATCTCATCCAGCCTCAATTTCGGTCCCTACATCGAGTCCATTGCTAAAACCGCTGCCAGAAAACTTGGAATACTTTCTAAGGTCAGGCGATATTTTACATCTGAGCAGCTCCTTAACCTTTACCGAGCCCAAGTTCGCTCCTGCTTGGAGTACTGTTGTCACCTTTGGGACGGATCTGCTCGGTATCAGCTGGATGCACTGGACTCGGTGGAACACCGTGCGAAGAGACTCATAGGCAATGACGCTCTCGTTGAGGCTAATCTTCAGAGCCTCGACCACCGAAGACGTGTAGCTTGCCTTTCGGTGTTTTATAGGTTACATTTCGGAGAGTGTGCGGAGGTATTACATAATTTGATCCCCCCTTCCCCTTTCCACCACCGGACGACCAGGCGCGGCGAGGGCTTCCACCCTTATGTTGTCGAAGTTCCTCCTATTCGCACGAAGCGATTTGCTTCGGCCTTCATTATACGAACGGCTAGGGAGTGGAACTCCTTGCCGAGGTCTGTTTTCCCGGACCAATATAACCTGGACATCTTCAAGGCCAGAGTGAACAGGCATCTTCTAGGCAGGCGTGTACCATCCTAGGCCTCATCATCGCTTTCCATCAGGTGAGATTGTGGTCAAACGCATTGCCTATTTAGCATAAAAAAAAAAAAAAAAAAAAAAAAAAAAACTATCTTCCTCCAGACGACAGCCAGCGAAGCGACCCTTGTGAGTTTGCTAGCAGCTCGCACCAGGGCACTGATGGAGTTGGCTGAGTTAAATCCTGACATGCAGTCCTCCGAACTGCTGGGCCATTTGATCTGCTATTGCTCTGACCAAGCGCATTCTTCCGTCGAGAAAGCCGGATTGATTGGTAAGTAATTTTATCTGCAGCCATGCTTTACAATCTGTATCAAAGATTCTGAAACAGCTTGCTTATCGGCAAAGAGAGAAAAGAGCTCGATAGCACAGATGGTTAGCGTGATCGGTCTGCGATCGTGGAACCTTAGCAACTTTCGCAATGGCCGATCATCGGAAGGGTGACCAAAAATGTACTATCTCGAGCCCCTCCGTGCTTCAGAAAGCACGTTAAGCCATTAATCATATCTGTATCTGCAGTCGTAAGCGGATGAGATAGGGAGATTGGGCCAGTACCGGGCCCAGTACTGATTGGTGGGTCCTAACGGTTGCAGATACAAATGTGACTAATGGCTTAACATGCTTTCCGAAGCACAGAGGTACTCGAGACAGTACATTTTTGGTCACCCTTCCGATGTTCGTCCATTACAAAGTTGCTAAGGTTCCACGATCGCAGACCTAACACACTGACCACCTGCGCTACCGAGCTCTTTTCTGAGATACAGGTCTTCACCTGTATCTCAGCAGTAGGGATATTATGGCAAAGCGGATTTTCTGCTAAAATTAGAGTGTCTGTCTGGGGAAGTAACCCCCACTTTACAGAAAACCACAGTGATATAACACTATCTTTTGGTGGTATGGTTTTTCTGTCGGTGACTAAGGTTCCGATGCTCCGCGGGGTAGATTGGGTTAAGGTAGGCAACGCCGCAAGTGATATTTTTTGTATAGCAAGCATCTACTGGCTATGGTGGTCGCTTACCACCAGGCGGGCCATATGCTTGTCTTTCACCCTTTTAACACTAAAAAAATATTAAGAGGCTGAAAACTACTTGTAAATCTGAAGAAAAATTTTACTAGAAAAAAAATCCACGCGGACCAGGCAGCGGACGGGACTCGAACCCGCAACCTTCGCAATCCGGGTGAATGCACTGACCAATTATGCTACCACGGCCCTGATGGCCGCTTCGAAATTTTCCTAGCCTTAAGCTGCAAGGCAACGCCTTGCTCTTTAGATTTAAACATCTAGCGGTTAAATGCTTAAAAATAAATAAAAACATAACTACTTGTAACTTAAAACAAATATTTATAAATATGCAATTTGTTTTAACAGGTTTAGTGAGAATGAGGTACATAGAATCGGATGAAAATCAGAGCATGCGTGGTGCCAAACTGGAGGAAGCCATCTTGAGCGACAAAGCTAAAGGATTGGTACCATTTTGGGTAAGTCTGAAAACATACACGTTTTTCAATATTTGCATACTAATATTATAAACTCCAAAAAGAGATCGATTCAAAAATAGCGATAAAGGATTAGTATTTTTGTAATGTGTAGTTCCGACAGTTTTATCGCTGGACTCTAAGCTAATGTGCGAGTACAACGTGCGATTACTCGAGCAATAAAATATTTTTTTTGTTGTTATGGATATTTTTAGGGTTCCGTGCCTCAAAAGGAAAAAAACGGAATCCCTTAGAGGATCACTTTGTTGTCCGTCCGTCCGTCTGTCAAGACCGATTTTCTCAGGAACGCGTGGAGGTATCAAGCTGAAATTCATATGTAATACTCAGGTCTACTGTCCCTTGGAGCTGTCAAAAAATCAAACTTCTAAGCCAAAGCAATCAAAAGATACAGCCGTTTACGCCGCAAATTTCCGCATTTTTTTTATTGTTTTTAGGTTAATATCAAATAACTTTATTGAATGAATTGTCAATGTTTCCTGTGTTAGTTTTTTTCCTGTCATTCAATCAGTCGTTCGCGGTGACTGAGCAAAAATGCACGCGCACGGGTTTTAGACAGACAAGCGAGCATCGCTGAGCGACTTTTATCTTAGAAAGCTCTCAGCAGAAACTAGTGGAGTGACTTCTCGCCGGCAGTGTGAACAGTCAGCGATCAACTATTTATATATGCATCTCTTTTGTTTACACGGAATAAATTAGATATTTATTCCGTGTACGTACGTTTCTTGAGCGAGAAAATAGCTGACAATTATACGCTTAATCGCCAGCGGTGGCGCAACTGCCTATATTTAATCGCGACAAAATAAAGTTTATTTTACTCTATGTGCAAAATATGCATAAAAAGGGATATACAAAGGAAAAAATATTCACATAATAAATAATAACAGTTTATAAAACAAAACTAACGAATTACATAAACACTTAAGCTGTAAACAATATTGTGAGGTACATTAATACCCAGTAAAATCGTATCATATTTCAATGTCTCTAAAATAAAAAGCTTTCTTTAAAATGAAACAACGTCAAGTATTTGTGTAAACTCAAATTGATTCCGTTGTGCTATCATCATAATTGGAGACAAGCAAATCCTCCCCAGAACGGACCACTAATCTTCCTTCAAATTGGTCCCTCTGGAACTATGGTACAGTTTAAAATGGAAGAATAATTTTTGATGACCGTATAATAAATGTATCTTGGTGAATTTTGAAATATTGTTCAGTGGAAAACTGACTTTCCTGGTTTTATTACTTCATTTCTGAAATTGTATTGTGTTCATTTTCTCGTGACAAATGTTCTCGAATAACTCTTTATTATTTTTCATATCGACTTATGAAACTAAAATTCGGGAGACTATTATTAATAGTAATCAATAATAATCAAAATCATTTATTCAGTTTAGGTTGTTACATAAGCAAGCACATATGAATGTCTAGAAGCTACGCCATCGGTTCGTAAATCTACGGCGGGAGACCTTGTACTGAGAAGAACCGGCAAGAAACTCAGCAAGGGCTGTTTTTTTCTTCCTGTTTTATCATTTACAGAGTCGTCAAGTTCAACTGCATTTTGATTGCTGTGTCATACAGTAAAAATACAAATAGAGTTATTTATAATAGGTTTAATTAAACACTTACATCTTAAATATCAAAGTAGTTAGGGCAAACTCATCTCCGCTGGCGCACCCGTTCACGAGCATGACGCATGAACCAGCCATCGCTTCGCTTAACCATATTTTAGGGAACGTAACGACCCGCTTCACACTACACCACTGAAGAGACTTTTAAGAGAGCATTACTACCCATAACTTCCTACATCAACCACAATATATTTACTTAAAATTAAAGTCATTAAGTCCGCCATATGCAATGTTATGTTAAAGTCATTTATCTGTAGGACATTGCAAACAATAAATAATAAGTAATTTTGATATGAACTGCTAGACAAAATAACAGAACTTTAATCTATTAGCATCATACCTATTGTTTAGCTTTAAGTTCGGCAGCACTAGTTGTCAAAATAAACTGACAGATGTGATGGGGGATTTCCCGCGTATGTCGCATTCTGTGGATTGTTATCTTGTGATGTGGTTGTGTCTATTTAATAAAAGTAACTTTAAAGTTTTATCTAACAGTACTTATAGAAATTAATTCCCTGAGGGGTTATAATCAGTTAAAATTGAGAAAACACAATTAGTATGAAACGTCGTTACTTAATATGGACTCAGAAATATGAAAATTTATATAATGACAATTATTACATCTGTTATTTTTTTTTAAATACTTCTCTTATGCGAGGATATTGATCTTTTTCTTAGAGTCATTGGCCCATTTTCGAAAAGTAAATTATGAAAAATAAAAATTAATCAGATTTATTAATTCCTTAATAATGTTTACTTAAAATAATTAGACAATTAATACGTTATTTTGAATAAACTACCAACATAGTCGTTGTGACGAACACGATTAGAATTTCGACTGTACGAATGTTAAGGTTCGAAAAACTTTTGAGTTTTTTAGATAATGCACAAATAATCAGTCGTTTATAGGTGAGTTCAATTGTATTAACTGATTTAAAGAGGGAAGTGTGATACTGTTACTGAGCATACGACATGCGTTTTTAAGCCGAAGCGGAACAAGTGCATATACTTTACTGGAAGTGTTATTTTCTCATGAAAAAAATATATAAAAGAAGATAAAAAGTTACGCACATTTTATGTAAAAAGAGCCGGGCTACTTGTCTAATGGCCTGCATAGACGAAGGCGGTGGACATTATTATCATAATTGCCTGAATCGTGAAAAAAATTACCGCCACCCTCGCCTGCTCTGGCTATTAGACTTGTAGGCCGGGATCCGGTACGACATATCTCGGAATCGTGGAAAGTCTAATGGACTACGCAGACGAGGGCGGCGGACATTTTTCTCACAATTACCTGAAGTGTGAAAAAAATGTCCACCGCCCTCGCCTGCTCTGGCCATTAGACTTGTAGGCCTAGACTAGGGCGGCGGATATTTTTTTCACGATTCGAGCGGAAATTTCTCAATATCACGAAAAAATGTCCACCAAGGACTTGTTATGGAAACAATGCACATTTTACGGAAATTTGTTGCCCGGAAATTATGAGAAATGCACCTTATGGATGCACATACTCTGTGATTGTACTGCGTTGTAATAAACATGAAGTTTAAGAAAAATAAAACTTTTTAACAGAAATTACTGGGATTATCCCTTTAGTCCGGATCGAGCGCACAAGGCAAACTAAAGTTTGCTGCGTCTAATCATATGGGTTCGCATTTTTCCGGGGACTTCCGCGTACTTTTGTCTTGTATGGTCTATCAGCGTCCTCGGTATTTTGGAGGACTTTTTGTACGCGGTACTTTTAATCTCGTTATTGTATGCGTTACTCGATGCAGTTGTAAGCGATCTGTTTTGGCGGTCAAAATAGGCTGCGAAAAAAGTCTCTCGTTGACGCAGGCCATTTAGCGACAAACATAATGCAATCCGACTTATCGTAAATCCATCATTACACAAAATGGCTCCAACTTTTAACAAAACTACCCTGTACGTTTTTATAATGAAATGTTTATATAAATTATATTTATTATGGTACCGAGCATACTGTTTCAATAGGTTCATGTTAAAATGCAAGCCTTTGTCACTTCCAGTATGTTAAATTTTTCTTATATCGAGAATAATCTAGTTATTGCGCAGCGCAGACTAATCGCGCGTCGTGTCAACACTATCATAAATTTTTAATGCCGTTATCTATTAAGGTACGCTTTGATGATATGAAAAATATTGTCAAATTTATATTGCAACATCCCATAAATAGGTAAATAAATAAACGGGTCTTGAATATATTTCTGCGTCCTTTGCAATTTCCCTCTTGAATTTCAAATCTTCAGTATAAGTACAAGTTTAAGTTTATTAGGATCTTTAATTAACCTTATTACCACAAAATTCTCAGACATACGTTCAACACGAGTTTAACATTTAAAAAAAAACAATATTTGCTTAAACAAAATTTGAAATTGTGTCTAACTTTTTATGTATTAAGACCGTTAATGCTTTTGTATTTATAGTATATTTTTTGCCATTCTTTTCCTATCTCAGTTGGAGATAGAAATGAATGGACAGTCTTTGTCTCTGGGTGATGTGCCTGGATTAAAATGATGTGTTCACTTTGGTTGCACTGGATCGATTCAGGGAAGCTTGAAGGTTATTCGATCTAAGATTTTGAAAATGAAATGCTTTTTGCAATGGTCGATAAAACAGATGAACTATAAAAGAATGGTGTGGTCTTATGAAACCAAGATGCAAGTGAAACATTTAAAGTGTTTTACATCACCTCAAATTATTTTCTAACATTTTTAGAAATTTAAGTGAGAAAATTTTGGATAATTATTCGAAATTGATGTTACTTTGGGCTTTTAAAACGTGGAGAATAAGAAAAAGTTCTTGCTTGGCTGGGAATAGAAAGGATTTTTTTGTGGGCTGTGCCGTGTGGCAGGCGAGCAGACAATCTTAGATCAACCCGAGCTATTTACTACTGAACTACCAATGGTTGTAGATAAGATCTAAAAATTTTCCAATAACAATTCAAAATGTAATACGACATGCTTAAAGCTGGGCTTTCGTAGTGAGCGTCAGCGACGCCGCGATAGGGCATCAGATAGAATTTCTATGCAAATGTCAATGTCAAAGTCGGTCAAAGCGGCACTAACAATGTCATTTGCGTAGAAATTTTCTCTGACGCTCTGTCGTGGTGTCACTGACGCTCGCTTCGAAACCTTACCTTAAGATGAAAAATATTGTGTTGATCTAATATAAGTCTCACTTTACAAAATATTATCTCGAGCTGGTTGTCACACCATTGATCCTGGTTCCTTTGACACGTTGAGCCCTCGTGCGGGTTATGGCCCGCCCTTTCTTTGTGCTTCAGGTAAAAGACCTGGGCTTCAGGCTTACATACGATACTACAAGGCAAATGTTGATACAGAACGTCTTTTCGCATTGTTACTTAGGACTTAAGTCAGTTGTTCAGCTGCCGAAGAGGATTCGACTTACTACCGGTTATTTTATCGCTCAAAAAACGTACAATAGATATAAATTCCGCGTAAACAAAAGACATGCGTATATTAATAGTTGATCGCTGACTGTTCACCCTGTCGGCGAGAAGTCTGCTCGGGATGAGTTTGATTTATACTGCGTGTAACGCCCGTAGCGTTACGGCTTCCTTGCTTGTGTAATCTCTTTGCTTATGTTATGCCTACGGCTGGCAGTGATATTAAAAAGTAAATGTTATTATTTTAAAGATTTGAATATGAGGATCTTTTGTCTCATATAGTACATTCCAGCAGATAGAACTCAGACATTGTTATCTATTATACCTAATAATAAATGATTAATACCTAACAGAACAATGTTTGTATACTGTATGACACAACAATCAAAATGTAAGTGGGCCTTGCATTGGCAGTAACATGATTTATTTTTGTAAAAGTTGCTACTTCAGTTAAATGCTGATGAGTTTCTTGCGCCAATTCTTCTCATCAGCTAAAAGATATCCTGTATATGGGGTAGGAAAAATATTGGACGATTCAAAAGTGCTTTCAATAAGTCAATTGGAATAAAGTATATAATCTTTATCCATTGTGCGTTTCTTGAGCGAGAACATAGCCGATAGTAAGTTTCTTTCGCTTCCTCGCCGGCGGTCGGACAACTGACTGCGGAATCAAAATTATTCCTGTTACAGGAGTTAACTTACTTTTTTTTTCAAATTTACAGGTTTGCGCAACACTGGGCACCACGGGGTCTGTAGCGTTCGACAACCTTCGGGAAGTGGGTGAGGTGTGCGCGCAGCATGCTGCCTGGCTGCATGTGGACGCGGCGTATGCAGGCAGCGCCTTCCTCTGCCCTGAATATAGGTAACCTACATAATCTCTTCTGCTCAACCACGAATATATATAGAGCGGGCGAGATTATATATTGTACTAAACGAGATATTGTACTAAACCGCACCAATAAAAGAAGGTATCTAAAATAGAGACGCAATACATTACGTCCCGCCCGCTCGTGGCCATTCTTAATTAGTTTCTTTATTGAGCAGGTTGTTCTATCAGTAAACGGACCGTGTGCTAGTTCCCTTACATTTTTCTCTAAGAGTGTAAGATCAAAAGAGTGTTTTATCATCATTATCAGTCTATTAATGTCTCCACTGGCGGTAATGAATGGAATGGCCTAGGGAAAATGACCCACCCACGCGGATCCAGTGGGCATCGGTGGGTGCTTACTGCTGATGGAGCCAGGACCAATACGGCTGACCCAAATCAAAACACAGTAAGGAACTTCCAACAAAATTTACAGGACTTCAATGATTTTCAAGTTTTTTCTTAACTTTAATCTAAAGGTTGATATGACTCTTTGATATGGTAGATGAAATTGCGGTCTAAAATTTTTCTATATTAAAAGTTTAAAAATAGGTTTCGATGCACGTTTTCTGACATTTACGAACTTTGAAATTAAATGCAACTCTAAACATGGCCGTTAACGTGAGACTTCCCGCCCCTCTCCCGGAACGGATAGCGCCGTTCGGTATAATATCGTCTCACTAAATTAAAACCTAATTCATGGAGATAGCTGTAACAAGATGTGTGCTATACTTTGTACTTTTTAGATATTATAGGTTTTTGGACATGTAATACCTAGCAAGTGACAATTCCCATGCAACAAAACACAGTGAGTACATGCCTTGCTGTGTTTTGGGTGATCTGAGCTGATCAGCTTTTACTACGTTTTGATTTGAGGATTGCGCTTTAGTTCGTGAACTAGGTTATATACTATACGCTATATTTTTAATGATAGCCTTAATTAAAAAACCGGGTCTTTGCATATTGTAGGCATTTACTGTGTCAAAATAAATAGTATAAAAAAGTGGAATTGGACAAAAATGTGCCTTACTATGTTTTGATTTGGGACAGCCTAATGGTTTAACGTGCCATCCAATGCAAGAAGAAGCTCGAGTAGTAAATATTTCGTCACCCATCCAACGACTGGTCATTGCAAAAGTTACTCAACTTCCACGATTGCAGCCGAACTACCTGCTCCATCGATCTTCACATGCATAGTTTTAGTGTCTTTATTATTTGGTTTCAGACATTGGCTGGACGGTGTGGAGCTGGCTGACTCTTTCGCTTTCAACCCATCCAAGTGGTTAATGGTGAATTTCGATTGCACTGCAATGTGGTAAGTGTTTTTTTGGTCTTAAAATTGTGGCAAAAAAGCATATGGCTCGCCTGATAGTAAGCGGCTACCATGACCTATAGACACAAGCCGTTGTCTTTTTTGAGCCAATCCCTTACCCTGTGGAGCCCTGAAATCTTACTCAACGACGGAAACACAACACCACTTGACAGTGTTATTTTACTGGGGTCTTCTGTAAGATGGAAGGAGGTTACTTCCCCAGAAGGACGCTCCAATTTGGGTGAAAAACAGTTATACCCCACCTTTCTTATATTTAGTTATTTGCATCATGCCAGCTACTACACATGAATTTTCGTATTTGCAATTTTCAATGCATATTATGTGAGACTGATACTGAAGCACCAGTGGAACTCCTTAGCAATTGACGTCCCTGAATTAGGATAAGTATCGTTTTGTAAACAATGAATAGCAGTTTACATTAGGATATTGGAAATTGCATAAATTACTTTACTAAGTTTTTGTTTTTCATAACCACCGTGTTTCGGTATGATTAAATTTATTTCATGGATCAGCAATCCTGCAATGGATATGTCTATTGCAATAAATTACATAATTAAAATTATTTTCTTTATTGTAACAGGGTGAAGGATAGCACAGCTCTGCACAGGACATTCAACGTCAACCCTATTTATTTGAGACACGAAAATTCAGGTATAAAACTGGAATTATTTAAACCATTATTATCAGCTACACAAATTTTAAGCACCTTTTTTAGCAGATAGGGAGCGATAAAAAATATTGAAAGCGCCAGATAATGACATTCACAAATGTTTTCTTTTTCTTTTTTTTTTAGTACAGTGGTACTAGAATGCTTTTTTTTAAATGAGTTGAACGGTAACTTACATAACCTAGTAGCTGACCCAGCGAAATTCGTATCGCCATAAAAATAGGGGCTGGTGGTAGAAGGATAAAAATTTAGAGCTGTATGTATTTTATAATGACGAACCATAAAAAAAATGACCAAAAAATAAAAATAAAATGTTAGGAGGGGTAGACCACACTTAACATTTAGGAGGATGAAAAATAGATGTTGTCTGATTTTAAGACCTGCTGAATATGCATATAAAATTACACTTAAATCAGTTGAGCCGTTTCTGTGTAGTTCAATTATGCAAATTGTGACACGTGAATTTTATATATTAGATTGAGTCTGAAATACAACCTAAGTGTACAACATTGATTTCATATTTTATTTGGCATCAGTTAGGCCATCTCATATTCCTGCCTCTTCTTAGACTTCTGATATAAGATTAATTTCTTTTTTTTACAGGAAAAGCTATCGATTACATGGTGAGTTAACCTCTTATCTGTTTATGACACCTTGGCATTTTTTTGGTTTGTACTATACAATGTGTGAATTTAACAACTTTAAAATATTGAATTTTATTCAAGTACCATATGTATCTATCATAAAAGAAATTACACATTGCTGTTACCACGTAAAGTATAAAACTATCGTACTTCATTTGTCATTCTAAAATCCAGCTCGGAAGCGAAAACGCTAACATCAAACGCAACGGAAACAAAATCAACCAGATAAAGGCAACGATACCCGCTGCTAACGGAAGATTGCACAACGGAAAAATGGACGAAGATAAAGATTCCTCAGATGACTTATACGATGACGATGATAGTAAACTCCATGGCTACCACAAAATGTCTCACGGCTGTGGTAAAAAGATCCAACTTGAGAATCCGGACAAGAAAGAATTGCTTGTGAGGAATTCAATTGATACTCCTTGGTGATGGGTGGTGGAGGAGTGAAAACAATAACCCTAAAATCGTTATCTTCATTAACTTTGCTTGTATTTATTTGAGGTGTACTCAGTCAATAATTGAAAATTCTTCATTGTGTTATGTGTTGTTTTGAATTCTATTTTTACTTTTTCTTTTTTATGATAACTTCAACTTTATTAATAGTAAATTAAACTCTCTCCCCCTTATTAATAAGTATAGAACTCATAACTTTGTAAATGCAACTAACTTTCTCATAATTGTTAAATTTCATCATCTCCTATAATCAAAAAGTAAACAAAAGCGTACTTCTAACAAACGTTAGAACATTATTATAAGAACTATGAACTATGTTTATATTGAAAACTTACGTCTTTTTACTTGGTACGTCGGTTTTATATACTGGTTAAATATTGGTGGTGGTAAAATAAAAGTAAAAATTGATATTCTAAAATTTTCCTGTGATTGTTTCTTCTTGTAAGTGCGTAATCTGATTTCTTAAATCTGTTATGATTTTATTATTTTACAGCACTGGCAAATTCCTTTGAGCCGTCGTTTCCGAGCACTGAAGCTTTGGTTTGTGTTGAGAAACTTCGGTTTGGTTGGACTACAGAAACATATTCGTGAGGTATTAATAGAAATTTATAAACTTTTCCGTTAAGATAATGTATTAAACATTAAGAACACGAACACCTTTTACATTCTTTTTTTCAGAGTGTCCGTCTGGCTCAGAAGTTCGAAGCATTAGTTTTGGCTGATCAGAGATTTGAAATTCCTCAACAAAGTAATTTGGGTAAGAATTAGTGCCTAGATACACTATTACATAAAATAAATGATGAATTCCGAATCTAAAAGAAAAGTATAGTAAGTAGAGTTACTACTAACTGATGCTTTTATAAACAGATTTTGTAATTGTTGTTTTATGTGTTTATTTTAAAAAAAGAAATTGTTATGAGGCTTTAGTTCTTTAAAATTTTAGAAATATATGACTGGAAATTTTCTGTCACTGTGGGTGTGTTTTGCCTTTTTTCTATCATTCCTACCATAGCGCCTGATCGTTTATTCTTTGCTATTTGAGATGATTGAGATTCAAATGAACTAAATTTATTGACAGTGTTGTTCTTGAAAAATACGTGTTAGTATCAGAAAAAATGTGACTATGTTTCAGGTATGGTCGCATTTCGTATGAAAGGTGACAACGCCTTGACCGAGCGTTTGTTAAAGCGTTTAAATGCTAGAGGCTTCATCCATGCAGTACCAGCCTGCTTTAAGGGAGTATACGTCATTAGGTTCACTGTTACTTCGCCTAGAACCACTAACCAGGATATTTTAGGTGAGTCTATTAGATTTTATAAGCCTAATATAGTTCCCACTGCTGGGTCAAGGGCCTTTCTTATATTTATATTAAAATCTATGTGTTTTAAGATCGTTAAAATACTTGATTCTTCTCTTCGTGTATTAATGTTAGTCTGTAAGTGGTTAGTTATTTTTGTACCAATTATAAACACACCAGATTTTTAACTTTAGAAATTAATGCAGTAAACAAATTCTTATCAATATTTTTAAAACAAAGTATATATTTATATAATTAATTTTATTTGCAGATGATTGGAATGAAATAAAAACCGTTGCATCGGAAATACTCATGGATGTATTCGGATCTGAAAATGGCAACATTGTCGTACCTAAGAAACCCAGGATCTCATTGAAAGGTATTTGGAACAAATATATAGTATGGAATATTCTAGTGTTTTAAATTAGTTGATCTCTGTAAAGAAGCAATCATTCATCCGTAAAAAGGCAATCAATGCATAATATTTAATATATTTGGTCTAGTAAATTCAGGGAATACAATTTGTGCAATGTTTCAACTATTTTTATAACACACAAACAACAAATGCGATATGTTCATTTTTTTTTGTTTTATGATGACTATACCATAAGTACACTCATTTGACTAAAGGTAATTTGTGACTTCACTGGTGCTGCATATTTTTTCTATGTGTACAGTGATTAATTTATTGCTAAGCGAGTCGCCTGTTTTGATCCCTATATTATTGTAATGTGTGTAAAATGAGAAAGTTAATTAATTATTCTTCTTTATTTCCCCCATCTAGAAGTATAAACTATTTATTTCAAATATCAATTAATAATAATATTAAATCAATTATCATTTCCAGAAACCCGTGAGTTGAATGCGACATTTGGCACAAGTTTACTCCTCGCTAATAGTCCAATGAGTCCAAAGATAGTGAACGGGACACACGCAGCTATTTGCGACTACGAGCAAGTCCTGACGTCGTGTGCGCAAACTTTTGCCCAGCTCAAGATGGAGCCTAAGGATAGCCCTGGTAAAGTACAAGTTTGAACAATTTTTCCTATATTTATTTATTATTATGATTATTTTGATGAATTTATGGAGCGTTTTAATAATATTAATGAATGGGAAATATTTAAATGATCCTCAAGAAAATAAAAATAAACGGTCACTTAAAAATACAATTCGTAACATTGATTAGTTTACCAATAATTGTATGATTTTGATGATCAATTGCTAATGTATTTATGATCATTTCAATATGCACCTTCCTAAATAAGGAATAATTATGTTCTGAGGAATTGTTCGGAATAATACCAGCTGCTTTTCGCTGTCGTACACGCGATGTATCGCGACAAAAATTTCATCCCCACCATCTTGATGCGTGGCTATCCATAACCCTGCGATTTTGTCATCTTTTTTTGTCACGTACGACAAAACTGTGGAATACAATGTCACCAGCAGTGTTTCCGGACCAATACGACCTGAAAACCTTCAAAAAATAGCGTACTCCTGGTGTTGCAGGTGTCTATGGGCGAATGTGATCACTTACCATCAGGTGAAACGTCCGCTCGTATGCTGCCCCCTATAATATAAAAAAATGGAAATTTCTTACCACATCCTCTGTCTTGGATGAGTTATCACGTTTTTACATTTCCGTTTCCAAATTCTGTATAGTGTGACCATAGTGTGACCAAGAACTTTATGAATGTGTGACAGTTCAGAGATGGCGCCACTGTCTACGTAAATGGCCGAGAACCACATACAAATATGACGATTACAAAGACGGCAGCGTTAGTTCCAATTTTCGCCACATTCATAAATATCTTGATCGCACTGTAATAATATTAACTAGTCAGTAACATAAAGCTAAACTTCATCTTCTAAAGCACAAAATTCTTCATTTCAATTATCCATCCTTAATCATTAATATATTTCAATACTAACAGCATTATCTTTTATATCTCTCGCTTACTAACCCTTCTTATCAACTAACAGAGATGCGTCGACGCATCCGTGGGATTAAGATGTGGGGAAAGAAGTTCTCCTTGGACTCTTGCATGGATATGGTACAAGGCATGATGGTAGAACAATCGTTGCCTTTGTGTTCAGAGGATGAAAGAGAGGACGCCTCTAATGGTAGGTTTTAACTTTTAACAGGTTCTGATAAATAATGATGAGTCCGAATCTGACTCAAGATGCAGTTTTTTCTTATTACTGTTAACTACAATCTCAAATTGTCTCGTTACGAGCAATTGTGAAAGTAGAAAAACAATTCTATATTTATTTCCATAAATAGCCATCAGTTGATTTTTTAATATCTGTTTCTGTAAAGACCTAAATGATTATATCCCAGGCTTCTTTTAAATAAAATACCTTCTACATAAAATTTGCCTTCACTGTTTATATGTATAACTCATTTGCTCGATTAAAACCTATGAATCTTGAACTCAAATACAGTTTTTTCTCCTTTCTTACTAAAATCTTTTAATAAATTGTTATTTTCAATCATCAATCATCAAGTAATATAAGTAGATATAGTGTTATATTATCAGCATAGTATTAGTAAGGTGGTATTAGTGGTAACAGTTCTAGTTATTCCGTGGAACGGTTTATTATTTTAAAAACATTTCCAATCAATTGATTTTATTTTAAGATAAACAATATATATTATCCCATAACTAGGGTATACAACGCGTATAACGAAATCTTAATGGAGGTGATCAGTATTAACATATTTAACGATTCTTCCCGAATTTTTGAAAACAAACTTTTGCATCACTTTCAGCCTCCCAATGTTCACTCGGCGTAGTTTGACTATTTTTGGTGTTCTTGATAATAATAGAACATTATTAAATAAAGGCAATCATTGTTAATGATAATGTTCTTGTTTTCTTTTCATTTCAATTGATATTAAACGACATGGGATAAATGTTATATATTGTATGTATCTATAATTGGCAAACATATTTAAACAGTAAAATCATCCTTTGTATATTATGAATGACTTGTATGTTATGCTGTTGATGTACCTATAAATGAATAATGATAAAATTGATTAAAACCCTAATAGTGGGGGATCACAGGCGGGGATTTTTGGATTTACTCAAGCGTGGCAGAATATCATAAGGGGGGCAAAAGTGCACCATGTACACCCACCATCCTGAGCCCTCTACGTAGGGCTGAAGTGAACGTCAAATGAACTAAAACAATTTCAAAAAACAGCCATGACTTTTGGTCCCGTCCAAATCGTCAGTCATTAGTCACACGGTGCAAGTTACCCCCCCCCCCCCCCGATCGAGGGTGGCAGATTAAATCCGAAAATCCCCGCTTGTTCTGCCCTACTGCAATGGGATTCACCCAATATACTGCACAAATAGTGATTCTAAAAACTCAGTATATTTTTAATTTTAGACACGCAGCAGATAAAAGAGGTTATCGGTGCCCAAAGCTAAAGGTAAAAAAAAGATTACTTTGGTGGTGGGTTACTAACACCGTTGTGTATTTTCTCGTGATATTATATTAATTGATTTATTACTAACAATACCATATTCAATATGTGTAAAGTAAAATAAAATTTCTTGTAACAGTACAATTTCTGTAGTTATAGGAAAAAATATTCACATAACTCTCACCAACAAAGAAGCGAATCGAAAATTATGCACATCATGTCGGAAAGAATGTGTGAGTAGGCAGAATATATTCCGTCGTCATTTTACGACTATTTTTTATATGAAAATATTTATAAGTTATATTCCCTATATCTTTTATGTATATACTTTTATTTCCATAATTCTAACGCTATTATTTCTCTTCTATAAAGTCAATTAAACTCCAGGATCCAGTCCCGGTGAAAGATCATCGATATCATCCTCACCTGTGACATCCAGCAGCACAATTAAACAAGATACCAACTCCGACTCAAACCAGTTACAAGTGCCAGCAACGCCATCTAGGCAGTATCGTTCGAAATCCGTCGATGTATCTCTTTCTGGCTTACAATACGACGACACGAAAATCACTATCGACATGAAGAGCAATGAAATCACAATAACACCAACAGGCTCCAAAAGCATCGTTGGAGAAGAAATAAAGAAAACAGTCCATTTCAAGGAAGCCGAAGACAAAATGAAAATAAGTGATAAAATTGGTCAGGCATTTGAAAACTTACAAGATGGCTTACAGATGCTAAGCGAACTAGGTAATAACAGCACCGAAGTCAAGAACGATGTAAATACTGATGAGTTCAATGCAAAATTAACAATTAGAGGTCCTGGTAGCTATATTAAAAAGTTAATACAGCAGTTCAGTGAAGGACCATTCGATAGCGAGGATGCTAAGCCGGAATCTGAAAGAGCTATGCCGACACAGTCTTTCAAAGATAGAGCTGATGCAATTTGTAAGAAATGTCTTCACTATAAAGGTAAAATTAGTAAGTAAAGTGAAAATGTGTAATAAGCAATAAATAATCATTGAAATCATCTTAAACATCCAAAAACATATATTTTAGTTGTTAATGATATAATAAAAAAATCCAAAAATATATCTTTCGCTCTAGAAAATTAATATGTTAACGCAGTAGGTATATAATTCTAAAATAGTTTAAATTTAAAACCATAAAAACTATACCTAATTAGCCAATAAATTACTAAGTTAGCCCATCTTTTCTTGATACTAAAGTTGTAAAAAATTTAAGGATAGTAAGAGACTATTTATAAAAGTGAAATTTTAATTGAATAACCACATTCTTTTTCCTTCATCTTTAGAATGCCGCATTACACTAATTGTAATTAATGTTATAAATTCAGACCTTGTTGCTTAATTGCTTGCTTGTTGATTAAGCATCGGTGGTTCAGTGCTAAAAAATTCTCCTGCTACCCAGGTTCTTCTATCCCAGCGGAATAAGGGTTTTTTTTAATGATATTAGAAATTTCACTTGCATCGTGGTTTTTTATTTAGCACCTCGAATATGAAAAGCGCTTGAAAGAGTTTGCAAGTAAAAACTTGATAAATTCGAGAAAACGAATATTATGAAAGTAGATATACTTATGCCAGATTGTAATTCTTATGGTGGTAGGATAATTTTTATAATTAATTTATGTGTAAATACAATGAAAATAATTTAGCAGGACAGTAGTTTTATAGGAACTGTTTATAAAACGAAACCAGCACAATGCTTTTTATTCACATATGTGATTGTATTATAATTTGCTTAGGCTTAGATGCACATTATATTATTTACGCATAACTCTAAATATAAATGAAGATAATAATATTAATTGCTATAATATTAAGTAAAGATAATATATTTTATTATTAAAATCTTTGTTTTATGAGGGTAGTTGTAAAAAAATATGTAACAAGCTTAGTGTACAACTATTAAATAATGTTTATGCAAAATTTGCAGCCAAAAGGTCAAAGGGATAAAATTTTATGAACAAACGTTTTTTGCAAATTTCCCATTTAAGAGGCTGAACTTCAAAAAATCCCATCTTATTACTTGTCTGGGCAATAATAGGAACTCACTGTCCAAATTTCATCATTCTAGGTCCATTGGATTCAGCTATGCGTTGATGAATCAATCAGTCTGTCAGTGTATCCTTTTACCTTTTTATATAATACTTTAGATCAATATGGAGATGAAGTAGTCCTAGGAGAAAGACTTGGCTAATTTTATTTGCATAAATTAATCTTGATGAAGGTTTGATTAAATAAAAAATGTGTTCATATTGGTTATTCCAAGCAGACTTATTCTGAGCACCTATTTTAATTTAATATAATAACCAAATTAAAATGAGATAAATGTAGTAAAATATTAATCATTCATGTAGCAAAAAGATATAATATTTGTAACTGGTAGGTGCAGTTTTGCTATGTTTAGTACCATAAACATATATTGTTAAATTAGATATTAGTTGTAGGTACTAATGTATATTGTTTGACGTAGTAATATACTATATTAACACGTTGTTACTGCTGTGCAATACCAATAAAAAATATAAAAAATATATATCCTGCATTCTTGATATATTAAAGATTTATTTTAACGAAAATTTGCATAAGTAGTCTTTCGAAGGATTGTGTCACACAAAACTATGTTATTACTTACATGCTTATTATGATTACTTTAAATTAGTTATTAAATAGATTAACTGATTTTATCAAAATGTATAAAACACAAAGTAGATAGCTAAGTAATGGAAATGTAGCATAAGATTTTTTTGTGAAATAAATGTTATGGTTATGAAGCATGAACAGAATTGTTTTAATTTTTTATCAATGTACTTATAGTAAATTTCCTTCTTATCGAAGCATAAAAAATGGTTGTTAAAAAAACACATTTCTAATAAATACTTAAAATTTATTAAATAAATGCGTAACAGTCAATAACAGTTTCTACTTACATATTAGACTAAATCTTAAATTGAGCGTTTCAAAGACTTCTCTCTTTACAATTCACTCGTCTTACATCACATTATTTAGTGAAAAGAAATCTGTTTATTAGAGTCCAGAGTTTAATTAACCACAAAAAATACGGTTTAAGTTATAATATTTCTATTATTATAAAAATAAATAAAAGGCATAATTGCATCTGATGACGAAGTACAGTACTTGTTATAAGGAATATGGAACAACGACAATTCGAGTAACATATAAATCTAAAACACAGTACACCTTAGGAGAAGTTATTTTTTTAAGTTGACCTAGCTGGGGTTCAAGCTTGATTTTCATATTAAGTAACTACAGTCGAAATTTTTCTTTCGAGAATTTTTGTTTAGTTCCTGTTTATTTCTGTTTAGCTTAAACCCTTCTGTATTTCTGTATTTTAAACATTTTTCTCACATTATTTTGTCACATTTTATCTTTCAAATCTTAATGCCCATATTTATATAGCATTTTATTAGAAAGTTATTCATTAACATTTATTAGAATAAAGTTCATTATAATTGTCAAATTAATTGCTTTATTAAAAGTCAATGACTCATTGGATAAACTAGATTCACAGGGATTTAGAGTTGTTACAATAAAACAGATTAAAATAATGTTTTTTAGCATTCACTCAACAGCTTCTCTCCTTTCAGTCTTAATACTAAAATTAATACTATCAATATTTAAATAAATGCAATTATAATGTACAATTTTTTTTACATGATTGATTCAATTCATTTCAGATAAATTTGATCATTGTTTTAATTTAAATTAATAATATTAATTTAAAATATATGAATAAATTTGGAAATATTTAAAGTTTTTATTAATAACATGCTATTGAATTTGCGACTATCCAAAGCAGTAAAAGTAAAAACAAATATTTGAATTGTTAAATAGCATAGAGAGCTTTTTGACATTATAAACAGCTTTGTTTATCATTTCATTTTGCGAAGCGTCATATATTCATTCACCTTGAGGTTACAATAAAAATATTTATTTTTTACAATAATTACAACATGAAACAATAACATCAATAGTTTAAACGTTTGAGCTTTTACTTTACAAAATATTAACATATTGCTGAGTCTGTTTCTAATGAAACTGCCTGATCACAAAATTGGTAACCCAGTCTTCCCTGCATCTCTTCAGTGGACTCCGGTGATACTCTTTAGCCATGGTTTATAGAAAGTTGTTCTCATATAAACGCCTGGTAGAAATGGTGCTGCACACTTAATACCGTGAGATACTGTGCCTACTAGTTGCCATCTGCCATCTTCCCTTTGAAGAACTAAAGGTCCGCCGCTGTCACCCTGAAAAACAAAACGAAAGTAGACTATTAAATTCCTATCCCGAAGCAGTTAACTGCTAGATGTTAAAACCTAGAGACAATATTACTTGAAAAAAAAAACATAGGTAACTCCAGGTTTCAGAAGCTAAATGCAGGTTCGATTTCCGTCTGAAACCTGGGCCTTTCTCTAGTATTTTTTCTTTGGATTTAAACAACGGTGATAACGTTAACATTATACACTTAATTTTTAATCAAGATTGCACAATCTTTATTAATATATCAAAAAGCTTAAGTTTGTGAGACAGTAGGGGGTGATCCCTGGATCTACTGAATCGATTTGGAAAATTCTGTTACCAATAGAAAGCTAACTTATTTTTAGTCTACACCGAACCGAAGCAATCGCGGGCCATTAGATAGCTGTATAGTTAAATAAACTATTAATTATGCATTCCATAGCTTAAAACAATTTAAGAGCATGTTCGCTAGTCAGAAAATTAATAGTATAGCCATCCGTGTGAGACTGCATTTTTTTTAACTATTTAATTTATCAATATTAAAATTGTATGGCTATTCAAATGTAAATTACCTATTTTGTTGTATAAAAAATTTTCTCTCGAACCCGCACCCTCCGCTATCCAGGCGGATGCACTGACCAATTATATAAAAAATCTTCTTCTGTGTCTCTTAGCTGAAAGGCACTATATATTTATGTCGTCTACATATTAGATAAATATATTTAATATTTCTATCAAACGTATAGCTTACTTCACACGAATCTTTCTGCCCATTCGCATATCCAGCACATATGAATGAATTAAGTATCTTCTTGGAATGCCCTGCTGTCTGGAACATCTCCTGGCAGGCGTTGTTTTCTATCACCGGAACCTGAAAATAACCAAAAGCGAGATTGAGAAATCTTTTGACTCCTTTATGAAATATACAGAAAAACATGGAAACTACCGGAAAACACTTCATATGGTCGTTGTCAAACCAATATCCGTTATATGCAAAACATAAAACTAACATATCAGTTACTATCAGTACCACTCTTCAACGTTATAACCCTGAAGATTCGCGTAGCTCTCTTTGTATTCTAAAATTGGTAAGAATGCTAATAGTGTATTAGTACACTAGAGTATACTAACCGATTTTCCATAATGATGGAAATGTAGAATAACCAAAGTGCACATAGCAAATATTGGTTTGAAAATGGCGATAGAAGTGACAGTAAGTACAATAATTATATATAACCACAGTTGAGTATGTATCAATACCTTGCCTAATTTGTAATACCTACTAAAGATATTACAAATTAGGTTAAAGAATTGTAACAAGAGCAGCATTTCCATTGAAAATAAGGCCAAATAAAAAATGGATGACAAAGCGCCGGACAGGAAACGGATAGGAAACCGACAAGTTGAAAGAAGAAATAACTTTTATAAAGATTAAACACCCGTATAGTGAAAGGTCCAGATTCGAATCCTGTCTGATGATCGGACCGAGAGAAATTTTTCTAGTAATATTTTCTTTAGGTTTACTAAAAGATAATTTGATTCAAGTCTTCTGTTAGATAAATACTGCTTCCCTAGACGGGCACTTCTTGAAGCCGCCATGGTGCGTAATTGTTCTTCAATAACTGGAGTTTACTATATACTCATCAACATAATTAACTCCCTACTTCTGGGGCACATGCATTCCCTATAGATGGAAAAAGGAGATTGGGTTATGATATTTGCATGCAAGTGATACGCAAGTTAGGACTGCGATCGTGGAACTATAGCAATTTTCGCTGTGGCCGATGATAGGTTGGGTGACCAAAAATATTATCTTCAGATCCTCCGTGCTTCAATGGGGATGATAAGCCGTTGGTCTCTGCTTCATCTGCAACTGTTAGCACCTATTCACCGCGTGGTACCCCCCATGTGGTGAGTAAGCCCAATCTCCCATTCATTCCATAGGGAAAGGCTGTGCCTCAGCAGAGGGGACATTACTAGGCTGTTGATGATGAAAGCTATCGTTACCTGGACTTCTTGTAGGACTGCAGGAACTCCGCCGCCGTACTTGAGACGTCCCCAGCCTGTGACAGTGGCCATTCGTCCAGTGAAGTCTGCTTCGTCCGGAGGCATGCATATTGGCACTGGAATGCAATGATGAACACTTCTATATGTGATAATGATTGATTCATTGTGAAATCTAGCTATTTGTGTGAAACATCTATTGCGGTCGGTGAGCGTGGCTGTTGAATGGCGGCGCTCAATGGCAAATACTTACAAGTTTGAACAGTGAGCTTATATATTATGCACCGTAATCTGGTCAGCATTTGTCAAAGTCCCGTAGGTCTAATGGTAACCCAGAGCGAATGCAATAAAGATTTCGGGTTATCCCAAAGTCCCAAAGTATTATTTGCTGTTAAGTTTATATTTCTTATCATATTCAATTTTGTTTTTCTTTTAAAACAACTTTTAAATATTTTTAACATCTGCCAGGCTTCTTGCTACGCCTTAGTTTTTTAAGTAGAAAACTTGGCAAGTGGCATATGGTCCACCTGATACTATGCGACCAACAAAGCCCATAGGAGCTTGCGATACTAGAGTATCACTAGCGCGTTGCCTACACTGAAGTCATCCTCTGTTTCTGTTCCACCCCGTGAAACCATGGAAACCTTTCTCATTGTAAGAAATACACCACCAAAAAGCCACCTGGTTTTATTAGGTAAAGGTAACTACAGGCGATCCAATTCGAGCAGAAAACTCGCTATACCTTTCTTAACAGCTGGTGTAGCTGAGCGCGTACAGTTTTTCCTAACTCACCAAATGGAAATAGAAACAGGACCATTTCACTTTTTCAATTATATTTTTGAGTTACATTACTCATTCATAAGTAAAGTAGATAAAATAATAATAGATGAATATTGAACTTACCAATATGAGCGTCAAATTTTATCGGCGATTCCAACTCCAATAAAGCTAGATCGTTTTCGAAGGTCGCTGCGTCGTACTGTCGATGGACTATAACGCGTCTAACGTTCCTAGATACGGGTCTTCTGGGCTCCTTGTCACCGGATATATCGTTCTCTCCGAACACAGCTACCAGTGACGCCAAAAAGCTGTGAAAATAGACTTTTTCGGTAAACTTTTGAATCAAAGCAAGTTGCAGACCGGCTAGACGAGAATGGATAGTGTGGCAGCTTTCTTCGCATCAGAACTGTCATACTTTTTTATTAAAAAAAATATTAATTTCGGTAGCTCGAAGAAAAAAATATGGAATGGGACTGAGCTATAAATAACTTTATAACAATGCTTGTGCTTACAACCCACAAATAATAATAATAATGTTTTTTTTTCCAAATTTCACAACAATTTTACAAATCTCTAGCCGTTACACTACGCTTAGCCTGTCCTATAGGGGAAGGATTTTGATAAAATGGATCAAGCGAACCCAGGGCTTTTTAAGCAGAAAATCACTGTTGTTGGAAATAGGATGCCCAAACCTCAAAACGCTCTTGGTTCTTATTCGTAGAAGTCGAAGCACCTATGTAATCCGAAAAATAGTGGTAAGCGTTTTCGGTCGGCGATCGTGGACCTTAAGCAAAGCCAAAGCTTTGGCCGGTCTTATACCATAAATTTATTAATTAAGCCGTTGGTACCGGCTGTATTTGTAGTCGTTAACCTACCCACCAACCCGCTTTGGCCCCACCTGGTGGGTTCGTCCTGGCCCAATCTCCCTATTCCACCCATGAGGAATGCCGGTGCATAGCGGTGTCGACAATTAAGGGTGATGATAATGATTGACACGTTGACTTACCCAGGTTGGCAATGAGCAGCAGTGGTGACAAATCTGCTAGTGATGAGGACGCCGCCGCACTTGTTCTTAGTGAAGAGACCCAACCAGGTGGACTCTCGGACCAGTACTTGCCAGGGAAACTCGCCGAAGCGAGCATTCTTGCCGCCAACTATACGACCCGACTTCACTAGGGGCCGGACACCGCACACTGGAAATATTATTTTTAATACTATACAAACATGATCCATCAAAGTAATTAGCGGGATTCCTACCATGTATTTTGTTTTTCAAGTAGCAATACCACTTTGTTTTTTATAAATAACTGAAAGTTTATTCTCCTCTTATCATTAACAACAGAAAAATACAACAAGCAACTTTTAGTTCACTGTGGTAGTTACTATTACTTAAGTATGAAATCCCCATGTATTTGGGTTATAGACATGCATATATGCACCCAATTTCAACTTAGTCGGTCCAGTAGGTTCCGAGTAAATCAACTGTGACAAGCAGACAGACAACCAAGTGCTTCTACAAGGGCTCCGTTTTTGCCGACCCTTTAGGGTTAAGTTCATAGCAATTTTTTTTGCTGCTTTGGCATTAATTTGTAAATAGAAATAATACAACAAGAAAACCTAGCTACTCACAATTTTTATCATTGTAGTCGACTTGCTCGTAGACTACTGAGTCCGTAGTCACCTCGTCAGCCAGTTCCGTAGTCACCGTCGTCGTCGGGGCTACAGTAGTCGTCACCTTCTTAGTCGGCTTGGGTCTTTTCGTAGTCGTCACCTGGAAGCAGGGTCATCGAGGGAAAGGCGCACGTGTTTAGGTATATTATTTTTGTGATTTTTTTACCTACCTGTAGAATTTAATAAAAACGGGATTCGAGGATATATCGTGAAAAACAATTGAAGTTGGTAAATATAAATATATCCTTACTAATATTATAAAGGCGAAAGTTTGTTTGGATGGATGGATGTTTGTTCCTCTTTCACGCAAAAACTACTAAACGGATTTTAATGAAACTTTACAGTAATGTAGCTTATAGATCAGAATAACACATAGGCTACTTTTATCCCGAAAAAAAATGTTAGGTTCCAGAGGGATTTCCAAGAAACTTAGTTAACGCAGACGAAGTCGCGGGCGACCTCTAGTTTATAATAATGATCAGGTATAATTTAAATACTGAAAATATTGGTAATATGTACTATAATTTATATTTAAAAATCTCATATATATTATTATTATGGTGTTAACCGTTTGATCAAAGTGTTAACCTCCTAAACTACGCTAACGAGTTTAGGCAACTACAAGCATTAAGAATAACTAAATGATAGGCGTAGATTATAATATATGTCAATAGAATATCAAAAGAATTTAGCCAAATATTAACCTAAGTATTCTTTGGAATAAGTGTGTTTAGTGTTTTCTTACCGGTTGCTTAGTTGTAGTGGTGGGGGCGGGAGTGGTTGTAGTCGGAAGCCTATAAATAGTAGTTAGTCTAGTCGGTTTTTTAGTCGTTTTTACTGTAGGTCGCCTGGTAGTTGTTGTAACTCTCAGTGGCTTTTTAGTCGTTAAGACAGGTTTTTTAGTGGTAGGTCTTCTCAAAGGTTTAGCTGTAGTCGGTTTGAGTGTTGTATTAGGCTTTTTATCTAATATAACAATGTCATGAAGTTCTTGGAAGGTGCCCTGGAGGCTACCAACGATTTTGTTGACGAACAAATTCATTTTTTCGTTTAGTTTTTCGTCCTCCTGCCATGTAGGTGTAGTAAATTCTATGTCTTGCAGCAAGTCTACGTCACTGTCTGATAAAGATATACTAGTATTATACATTGCCGGATTTGAACCAGTTGCATTGAGCATTGGATTCCTAACAGGAGGGAAGTTTATCGAGTCATCGGGTGAAGTTTGTAGTTCAGGTCTCAAAGTCGTCGGAGAATAATATTCTGTATAAGACTCGAGACTGGGAATCGGGCTTGTTGATGACGAGAACACCGGTCGTGTAGTCGATTTGATTGGATAAGGAGTCGTGTTCGGTGGTGGCTTAGGAGTTATAACTACAGTTGCGGATGCGGGACGTTCGTAATTCGGCGGTGGTTTGCCCATGTAAATGTTATTCGTCGATTGTATGTGATTGTTAACAGTTATCTGGCTGACGGGCTTTTTGAACGGCTCTTGAGAGATCTCGACGAATTCAGGTTCTTTTTGCGATGTGAGCTCTGGTTGCGGTGTCTGGTAGCCGTTCAATACGATGACTGTCGGTGTTACACTGGAGAACGTATCTGGAGCGACGTCGTAACTCGTTTCAATGCTGCTTGGGGGAGTAACAGGTCTTCTTAAAGGTTTCGATCCGGTTACGTAGCTTGTTGACGGTGGTTTTCTTGTAGTTGTTGTTGGGGGAGTTGTGCTTGAGCTGACATAACTGAATGTTGTTAAGGAACTGCCAAAATTGCCAGGATCTGAGGGGTATCTATTGAATGCGTCTATTGCTTGACTAGTAGATTGACTAGGGAGCGGAGATGAATAGTAAGGGTTTATAGTAGACTTCTCGATTGTTGGTCTTGTTGTTGCTGTTGGATACACTGGTTTCTTTGTGCTAAACGTAGGTAGTTTAGAAGGATATGTTACGCTAGATGGTTTTGGGGTAGGTTTCAATGTCACGTAGTGTCCCGTCGACGCATTGTAATCGGGATAGCCACTGCTGTACGAAACAGGCGGTACAGTTCCTGTTGGAAGTGGTGAGGATTTAGTTTCCATTGTGTCAAACGACGTAGGTGAAGTCACTTCTTCTTTGATACTTGGAGTGCTATCGTTTAGCATTTGTATAATTGAATCTATTGATGACAACTCGGTTATCTTCTGACTTTCTTTAGTGACCGTAGATACCATAATATAATTTTCTGTTGAGGGATTTTTCGTTGTAGTTTTGTTCGCTGGTTTTGGTTTGAAAACTGGTTTGGTGTATACAGGGTGGTGCGTTGACACAGTTTTAGGTGTGGAAGTTGGCGTTGACGACATTGGACTAACAGTCGGTTTTGTTTGCATCGAAGATATCTGGACGTTGAAATCTGAGGGTCTGACTATATTATCAGCTATCGAACCATTTATATTAAAGAGGACTGTATCAGCCATATTATAGTCTATACTACTGTGCGTGTAAATGCTGCCTTGTTGGACAGGTTTCACATAAAGGTTACTATCCTTGGGAGGGTAACTGAGCAACGAATTAGTGATTTGACTTAGGCCTTCAGAAATGTCAGTGTCATCTCCTTGCGTTGTTTTTACGTCAGGTGCAGCTGTAACCGGTGATGATCCGGGCCTATATCCAGGCGTGACTATAGGTTTGAAACTGTTATGTAAGGCACTGAGTTGTTCCGAATCATAATCGTCTGTTTCAGACTCAGCGTCGGGGTAGTCTAGATAACTGGTCATGACAACCCCGGGCCCTTTCGGGATGTGAGATTGGCTATCCGATTTGAGTTGGCAGCACGCTCCGAAGAGGAAGCCATCCATGCAGGTTCCGACCACTTCGCCGCCTCGTTGCACACATTCGTGGTTGAACATGCAGATTTTGTTGCCCCTGTTGTATTTGGCTGCTCTCGACGCCTTGCACTGGGACGGCGTTATCCGGTACCCTCCAAACAGTTTTCTTGATTCTAGAAAAGAAAAAAACAATGATATGTAAGGAATTCAACAAGAGAGGCACATCTGAGGGAAACAGAAAACTGGGAATTTCAATTCAGATTGAATTAGCTAGAGAGTAGCAGTGCACCTGGAACGGAATTCAAACTCGAAATCAAGTGAATTGAAATCATTTTTCAAGCCATTCAATATATTATGTACTTCTTTACTCCTAGAAACGAGAAAGCAAGCAGTATCCTCGTATTAGTTTGATCGATGTTATTATCGGTTAGTTTGTCATACGTTAATGTTTATTACTTCTTCAGATTTTTCAGAAAACAATTGCATTGTTTTTTATTCTCAACAAAGTGATGATATTAGAAAGTGTTTAGAACTAAGTTTTTGTTGTATGACATTTTTCTAACGGGAGGATTTGCATAAAATTAATTACAAATATATTGAAGTAAATTGTAGTTAAGTAAAAATCGTTTTACAAAAAATTAAACCGCCGAAGAATAAAAAAAAAATATAAACCTTTTCCATCTTTAGTCAAATTAATATTTGGAGTCGGTGTCAGTGCCAAACTCAAGTAGTAAAAAAATATATACACGTCGACTTGCGAACCTCCTCCGGTTTTTTCATCGGTTAAAAGTGCTGTTTTTAGCAATTTGCATTTGGTAACAAATTACATTCTGTAATAAATACAAAACAAGTTATCAACTTTTCTAATACCTCGAGATGATTTAAAGAAGGAGAAGGAGTTTTGAAGTTTAATTTTCAACATATTAATGTACGGTCAAAGAATCATATTATTAATATTGATAATGAAAAAAAATACGATCCTTTGTTCGAATCTTAATGAGTTAGCAAAATCTTGGTGTGTATAACATCACCTATTCTTTCCTGTTTATTGTTTTTTGATTCCTGTTTATTGATATGGATAAGAAAATCGGGAGCAGTGGCGTGCATTAGGAGAGACCTATGTCCAGCAGTGGACGAGCATGGGTTAATGGTGATAATGATTGATATGGTCAAATTAATGATTAGGTTTTGTTTAATGTAATGGTATTTTATCAAAGGTAAAAGAGAACAAACGAGCAGGCTGTTCACCAAATGGTAAGAGATGACCGCCACACATGGACGCATAAATATTTTGAAACACTCTTTTTTGGCCTATTTAAAAATTCTATAACTCACATCTGCAGCATTTTTAAAACTTGTAACTTCTAATAAATAAATATTTCTCTGTTTTTACATAGATCTTTACATAGAGTTTAAATATCCCTTTTTTCATTCCAAAATGGAACCATGTCCCACATTAATCGAACACTTGGCAAACCTATTTCTACAGAGAAATTTATTTGGTTGGAAAGCGCACGTGCTGTGTATATATATTTTAGCCTACTTGGGGAAACTCAGTGACTTTCCAATACACACACGTAGCGTTTTCATCGCAACACTGGAGACGTATTTGGTAAATTAGGATTGTGGACAAAGAAGGTTTGATTTGAAGCATTGAATCGCTGATTCCTTGTTAGGTAAACGACAGTAAAGTTGGTCAGTAACTTATGGGTGAAAATTGCTTGTCTTTGATTGCTCAATTTACAAGAGTTTGTAAGGTTTCGTACTGATTCCGTTAGTCACCTAGAACCCTAACCCATTGATATAACTTTACTGTCTATTATAATATGGAAATTGGTAGAATACTTTTTTTTTACATAATGTGAAGTATTACTATAGCTGCTAGCACAATAGATAAATAATGAATGACACGAGAAATGTTAGTTATCTTATACGATGGTAAGAACCTTTTATATGTGTACCTATCCAACAGCCACTTCCAAATTCCTGATACTCATCTCGCCACATTGAACCTCATCTCCTTCCCCGTGGAGCTCCGGCAACTTTACTCAATGTTTTACAAAAGAAAAAAATACTACAGAATTGCGTGGTTTGGCTACTGTCATTATCATAATTACTACCATGTAACATGATTTTCCGATATTCATCACTGTTACATGTAAAAACCATGTAACATGTTTTCCCCATATTTCAGCACTGTTACAAGTACAATGATCACGGAGCAACTGTGATTTACTAGTTTAAAACAAAATAATGGCTACACCATTCTGCAAGGTGGAAGTTAAGTTTATAGGTTATGTCTCCAGTTTAAACGATAGTTAAATTTAGATGCTTTTCGGCATGTCATCTACGAAGACAGTGAAATAACACTATCTTAGGTGGTGTTGTGTTTAACCACACCCGCCCTCTCGGCATGCAATAGGGGGACCGCGGTCCTCATAGTGCGTGTCGGATGACGGTGCAGGAGTATTGCCTGGTTTTTAGTGGCCCTGTTCAGGGCGTTAGGTAGGGCCCTGTTTATTTCATCCGCCCACAGGGCTGGCTGAAATGAATAGGAAAGAGTCCCACATACCTTCTTCTCGCTCCCTCAGTGGTTAAAGGATGCGTAAGGCATTTCCCAGACAAAAAAAGGTGGTGTTGTGTTTCTATCTGTGAGTAAGGTTCCAGGGCTCCTCGGGGTAGAGGATAGGGTCTATGAAGAAGTATTAAACGTTTAAAAGAAGAAGTAGCAATTACATATTTTCTAGTAAAATTTTCTTCAGCTTCAAACATGTAGCTGTTAAATGCTTAAAAAAACGTTTATGACGTATTGATATTCATTATCACCCTAAACAAAGGTTCCCAGGGGATTTTCTGAATATTTTTTTTATGTTTATACAGGCAAACGAACTGGCTGTCCACCAATGGTAAGTAGTCACTGCTGCTCATGGACACTTGCAGCACCAAGCGTCAAAACTCATGCGTTGCTGGCTCTGAAGGAAAGCCTATAGTGCGATTTAAATAAGAATAGGAAAACCAATGTCCTCCATCTGTCAAATGTCGCTTGAAAAAAACGGTTTGCAAAAAAATGTTGGAAGGGTTCCAATGCAATTTAGCACAAATAATAATAAATAATAATAAAAAAAATAATATTGGTTGATATTTTTTTTTCATTTATTGAGCTTTGGTTATGAATGGTTGATAACCTATATCGTCAACCAAATGTCACTTTAAGTTGTCTTCAGAAACACGATTTAAAACTTTCGTTTACGTAAAGGATGTATGTTCGTATGTGATCTAGTAATAGTGAATGATTATTCATAACTACTCCGGCGGTAATGCAGAGATGAGTGGAATTGAAGAGCTAGATTCTGATTAATGTTTTTTCTTACACATTGTTAATAAATAAATATTATTAAAAATCGATTGCTTTTTTTTCTCAATCCTAGTAAATACATTTTATTAAAAAAATTTGATGTTTTCACTTAATCTTAGTAAATAAGTTTTATTAAATAAACATTTTTTTTGCTCACTTTACCTATTTGGTTTGAATTGACAGCTATGACGTCACAATATGGCGCCCAGTCGGCCCTATTCTTAGTTAAATCGCGTTATACGTTTGATTTCACTAACGCGAAATAAGCAAACCGTTATAGAACTGAAATAAGAAATTAATCTATGTTAATACTCATACAGGTCATGTTTTTGCGCACACGAAAAAACTGGCAGTGATGAATTGACAATCGTATGTCAAAGTAATTAGTATTTGTTAAAACAAACATTTGCCTAAACATGGTATAGTTAGTATAACCGTGTCATTATAACAAGAGAACAGGGAGACTGTGCCACAGCTAAAGATGAGCGATATTTTTATGTTTCTTTTAAGCATTTAACTGCTAGATGTTTAAATCTAAAGAAAAGTTTTTACTAGAAAAAAAAACCACGCGGACCAGGCAGCGGACGGGACTCGAACCCGCACCCTTCGCAATCCGGACGAATGCACTGACCAATTATGCTACTACGGCCCTGATGGCCGCGTCGAAATTCTTCTAGCCATTCTTAAGCTGCAAGGCAGCGCCATCTCTTCGCATTATAGGTAACCCACAATGTCAAATGAATACTTTTACAAGTATTAAACATTTGAAAGAAGAGATAGCAATTATAGTTATAATTTTTATTTTTAAGCATGTAACTGCTTGATGTTTAAATCTAAAGAAAATATAACTAGAAAAAAATTCACGCGGACCAGTGGTCAGTGCATTCGCCCGGATTACGAAGGGTGCGGGTTCGAGTCCCGTCTGCTGCCTGGTCCGCGTGATTTTTTTTCTAATTTTCTTTAGATTAAAAATATTTGTTTCTCAGAATGTTATTCTTTTGCTTACCCACGAATTTTGAAAATAGTAATGACACGCCTTAGTGATCTAAGTATCTTCTAGTGACAAAATCGTATCGTAAACATTTCTTGAATTTTGCGGTTGATTCTTGTTTCATCACTTGTCCCTATGTCCCATAACAAATTTGAGGTGTATAAATCTGGAAAAAATGGCATGCATCAAGTAACTCAGCTTTTTTTCGACCCTCAGTACCTTAACTTTCATCATAAAAACAGTTTCTATACCCAAATTTTGGGTAGGTTTCAAAGTACCTATATTGTATTATTGTATTGTATATGTGGCATTCGCCCGGATAGCGAAGGATGCGGGTTCGAGTCCCGTCCGCTGCCTGGTCCGCGTGGATATTTTTTGTCTAGTAAACTTTTCTTTAGATTTAAACATCTAGCAGTTAAATGCTTAAAAAATAAATAAAATCATACCTATATTGTTTCAAATTGTATGGCTCTATATGCACACTCCAGTGAAGAAGCGAGCAGAAGTGCGTCACTTTTTAGCGTCATTACAACCCTTCGACATTCATATGGTTTGGGTCGGAGTCTCCATTATACTGCCGTTCGCAAGCTAAAACGCGGCTAGATGACATATCCAACCTATTCAAAAACAAATTTTGAGATATGGCCTAAAAACGGTGCGTAAACTTTAAATTATTGCTATTTTGTAAGCATTCATCACATGATTGATTTTTAGACTTAAACTATAAAAAATACGAATACTTCTTAAAGACAGATCGATAGAGAATTGAAAACTGTATAAGCTGCAATTTAAGATTGAAAAGTCGATCACATGCCCCTTAGCCGCAC